GCGGCGGGCCTCGGGACGGTTCGCGGCCCGGCCCCGCGCCGGGGAGCGATGGCGGCAGTGGCTGCGGCAGCAGGTGAGTGCTCTGCCGGGGCCGGGAGGTCTCCCCCGAGGCCGCCCTGTGCCGGTGGGCCGGCGGCCGGGCGGTGCCGGGCCGGGAACCTGGGGGTCCGCAACTTTGCGCGGGAAGTTTCCCTGCCCGGGTCCGGTTTCTGCGGAGCCGTCGGCGCCGAGGGGCCGGCTCGCAGTCCGGCTCCCGCAGCAGGCCGCCCGTTTCCCTGGACACTCGTGCTCTGTGTCGCCCCCAGGCTGCCTCCTGGAGCGGGGCCGTCGGAGACTGCATGGAGACCCCGCAGAGAAGACTTCCTCCAGGTGAGCGGGGGTCGGTGGCCGCCGGCTCCCGGTGACTTGGAGCTTTCCCTGCGGCGACCGCACGCGCCGAGATGGGGAATCCAGGTCTGCCGCTGCCCGCAGAGTGAGCGGCAGGCAACGGACTGAGGGCTGCCCCGCAAAAGATGGACCCCTGTGAAGATCTGGAAAGGTCCAGCCATAAGTCTCTGGACTCCAGGGAGACCGGGCCTCCGGAACTTGAAGGACCACGGGCCTGCGACCCTGAGGCCCTGGGGAAAGGACACGAGGAGATGTGGAGCCAGAAGTACCACCTGCAGAGCCCACGCGCGGAGAGCAGCAACAGGTGACACACCGTGATTCTTGCGTCGTTGTTCCTCGGGGAAGGAGGGCTGAAACCCTTGTATTCCTTTGTTTGTGAGCCTAGGAGAAGGTTTAGGGGGATACTGGACGACTCCGGATGAAACACGTTGGGAAGTTGAAGAATTCCCGAAGAGAACCACACCTATGGAAGGAGTGGTTAAGGATTTAGCTGGAGTGGGGGCTCAAGTGGGAATGAGAAAGAACAGAGAATATTTGATGATCACCCCCTTGTTTCTTGGGCTGGGATCCCACACCTGTCAAACCAGAAACAGACCCATGAACTAAATGAGTTGATCCGTGGTGAGCACTTAGAAAGTTGCTGGGCACCTCGCATGCCGTGCAGTGGACTAACTTTGGCTGTTGTTGTCATCCAAAGCCTGAGTTGAGTTTTGTTTTTTAATCTTCCAGTGAATGGCAAAATCGAAACAGAGTTTCCGAAGAGCTTATGATGGTTGTCCAAGAAATGAAAAAATATTTCCCATCAGAGAGACCCAATAAGCCGAGCACTCTAGATGCCCTCAACTATGCCCTTCGTTGTGTACACATATGCAAGGTAAAACGAGCCGGAGGGAAGGTCCAGTGGTGCAAGTACATCATTTTGCTAGTAAACCTCAGCCGAGCAGGAAGAGTTGTCAGTGTGGTTCTAGTCCCTGAAATGTTTTGAGCTTTTTATGGTGCTGGATGGGTGAGGAGGAGGTCTACACTGATTCTAGTAGCGTGGTAGGTGTGCAAATTAGGAACATCAGGAGAAGGAACCTTTTTTGTGTAATGGTTTAGGAACTGCTGTTTAGTGCCTGTGCCATATTTTGTGATTTGCTGCAGGAGAGTACACTTGGGCACATTTTAAAGACTCACTTTAAAAAAGATGTTTTTTAATGTTAATTTATTTTTGAGAGAATGAGAGAGACAGAGCATGAGCAGGGGAGGGGCAGAGAGGGAGACACACAGAATCGGAAGCCAGCTCCAGGCTCCGAGCTGTCAGCACAGAGCCTGATGTGGGGGCTCGAACCCTCAAACCGTGAAACCATGACTTGAGCCGAAGTCGGACGCTGAACTGACTGAGCCACCCAGGCGCCCCTGAAGACTCACTTTTTAAAGAATCATTGTCTTCTGGGGTGTCTGGGTGGCTCAGTCGGTCCAGCATCTGACTTCGGCTCAGATCATGCTCTCGCGATTTGTGGGTTTGAGCCCCGCGTCAGGCCCTGTCTGTGCTGATAGCTCGGAGCCTGGAGCCTGCTTCAGATTCTGTGTCTCCTCCCCTTTCTGCCCCTCCCATGCTCATGCTCTCCGTGTGTCTCTCAATAATAAATAAAAGTTAAAACTACTTTCTGTGAAACATTAAAAAAAAAAGAATCATCGTCTTCTAAGGTTATTGGGGAAAAAATACATTTGAGAAAATGCAATTCCCCATTCGCTGTCATCCACATATTGTTCCGGTGCCTTCACGATATATCAGGAATCTACCAAATTAAAAATGAACAATTACAAACACCTTTTCCTTTTTATCTCTGACTTTTCGTTTGCAGGGATTTCATAAAGTACACATTTTCATTAGCATAAATCTCTGCGACTTCGTGTAGGACACACAGTTCTTGAGTACTGAAGTAATGTTTCTGCCATAAACATGTCACATGTATGTGTTCGAAATTTTTGGTTTTAGTACCTTCAATGGGTCCTGCTCCTCGCAATGTGGAACATCAAAAAATCCTGAAACTCCAAGGCTTAGGTTTGTACAACTGTCAGTATTTTAGGTGCAGATGATGCTGTGGTTTTGAGGAAAACACGCTGAGGTGTCCTCATCCTGAAAAACGAGCCAACTTGAACAGTGGTGAAACTTCCTTCCTGAAGATACTGTTGTCACTGGACTGCCTCTTTATTTTCTTGTGTTTCTTAGCAAACAGTGAGTTTTTCCAGATTCTCCGTCCAGATGGAGCACCTCGAGCAAATGTGACCACGTACAGTCTTGAGGAACTGAGCACGGTTGCTTCAGAACACGCTTCCGAAAACACAGTAAGGATTCCCAAGATTTGCGGTATCAACCAGGGTGATTTTTCCTAACGACTTTATCTAGATGTCGATTTTTAAACCTAATAATTTGGAGTTGCAGAAACCACAATTTGAGGCTAGAAAGCAGATTACCATGGAGGTGTTGTGTAGCATACGGCCCTCGCCAGAGCATGGACCTAAAACCAGGAGGCAGCACGCGAGCGGTGGTTCTCTGTGCTTTGGTTCTCAGGTGCCCCAACATCCTGAGCTTCCCTGAGTTTTCTGGAATTAAGAGGAAAAAAATAAACTGCAGAGCGGTTGCCCTCATTTTATTCTAAGCCCCGAATTGTTAATTTGTATTTATAACATTCTTAGTTCCAATACCTACTATGTTAAGTTGTAACAGCTGGATTTTATAGAACAGTTCAGTTGAGATGCTGTCATTTTTTGGGTAACGTTTGGAAGAGACATTTACTGTATCTGTTTTGAATCTCTTCATGTTGACTGAGTAATTCAACCGCATCCTTTACTGACGCGATGGAGATTACTTAATTTTTAATTCAAGTCATGTTTAGACTTCAGCGCGATTGTAACGTAATGATTTTGTCCTGTCAGAACATGAGCTGTGTGCTAAAACCGCAGTAGCTTTTGTTTCACTGACCGAGGTGTTTATGGTACTGCTGCGGGTGTGGCCGAGATGTGAGACACTGAAAAGTTTAAGAAAACATTTCCCCTTTAAGATCTCCAAAATAAAGCCAGACAGGAAGGCATGCCGGTGCTAGAATTGCAGACACAAACCGTGGCCCGTTATAAACGTTCTAGGTGTCCGATGGGACAAATCAGAGAAGTTATTCTTCTCTACTGACGGTGTCTCGAGGGAGGGGAGTCTCGAGCCTGGTCCTAAAGCCTAGAGTTCTGTGTTGGTGAAGAGAGGACAGTCCCCCTTGTTTGCAAATGAGAAGGAGTCAGAAGCAGACACGCCACATGCACGCTTAGTAGACATAGGAGGAGCTGGTGTATCCTTTGGTATAGAAATCAGACCTTCAGGAGGTAAAATGCAGGTTCTACGGTGATGGCTAAGCTGTATATTGGAGAATTACACGGCCATTGTGGGACATGTGTGCATGTTTTAAGCTTTTGATCACGTTAGAAGTCTAGAAGTTTAGCTTTCAGGGAACATTGCTGCAAGGATCTCAGTGTTGGCATTCATCTCCAATGTTTTTTATAGGATACCTTTGTGGCAGTGTTTTCATTTCTGTCTGGAAGGTTAGTGCACGTTTCTGAACAGGCCGCTTCGATCCTGAACTGTAAGAAGGATTTCTTGGAGTCCTCGCACTTTGTTGAACTGCTCGCCCCTCAAGATGTGAGGGTGTTCTGTGCACACACTGTCCACGCTCAGCTTCCCTTCTGGAACAGCTGGACCCAAAGAGGTAACGGGACCGATGCTCAGGTGTTTATCTTGCCTCGTAAAGATCAGTTTCATTCTTTGAGAGATAGGACCAAAATTGACACATTATTTTGAATCTGCAAACTGTATGGTTTTTCTTACCTCTTTATTTTAAAAAGTCAGAATGTGGAGTGCCTGGCTGACTCTGTCAGAGGAGCACACAACTCTTAATCTCAGGGTCGTGAGTTCAAGGCCCACGTTAGGCATAGGGATTACTAAAAATAAGTAAAACTTAAAAAAAAATTAAAAAGTAAATAAAAAGTCAATGTGACGAAAACAGCACTTTAAATGCTTCTCATGACAAAAAGTTCCAATCAATATGCTGTCATTTAGTCAAGCTGATTAACTACGTAGGTTATATATCATACACATGGTGTGATAGCTTGCGTAACTCAATAGCAGGTTAATTGTTATGAAGACTCTGTTCCCTCTAAGTTAATAAAATTAAATGTTTTTTTCTCTTAAATTGACTTCATTATTTCTTTGCTTTGTTTGGAGATAAACTTCTCATGGCCGGCTCCCATTCTAGTTTTGCTTCCCCCTAAAAGTTCACAAATCTCATTGCTTTGTTTTCCTTCTGAAATGCTTATTTGCCTGAACCTGGGATGCCTGTTCACAGTTTCCTCTGTGGCATTCAGTCCTGTGTGCTTTTTAAAATAAGTCGTTACTTCTTTTTACAGCCACCCGTTATTACTTATTTCATATCCTTTGTTAGTGTATCTCAAAGAGTGTGGTATATAGATCAACTTTTTCCTCTTGATTCCAAGCCTTTTTCTCCATTTTTTTTTTATTTAAATCTGATGTATCGTGGTAAAAAAAAATCGCAAAATTTACCATCTTACCATTTTTAAGTGTGCAGTTTCATAGCATTAGGTACGTTGGCATGGTTGTGAAACACACGTCCAGAACGTTCTCATCTTGCAAATCTAGGACTCTGTGCCCATTCCGTTTTTTTAGTGCATACGTGGTCTAGTGGAGAACAGTCTTGCACTTACAGGCTCCTTTTTCCAGTGACAGACCTTTGCCCCGTCTTTTGTGTACAGTTTGTGTAAGCTTCAGGACACACACCTGTCTTCCTCATTTCCTGTCCCTCGAAAATGTGGATTTCATTTGTGTTCCTCTTTCGTGAACACGTATTTTCAACCTTTAATTGTCCACCTTTGTTTCTCTGCTTTTAGTGGTCATTCACCCACTCCGCGAACATGTATTCAACAAACACGGTGGGCCGGGAGGATGCAGGGTGTTGACACACAGCTGTGAACAGAGCAGGTGTGGGGCACTGTGTGCCAGTCCTCCCACTTACCGATGCCGCTCCTCCAACTGGCCTCTCCAGTCTCTGTTCTTTTCAACCATGTTATCTCTGCGTAATACTTGCTGCTGTGGTATTTCCCCTCCGTGTGAAAACATAAATATGCCCTGAAATCGTCTTTTGGATCTAAAAGTTGGCTTCCTCCATGGAGAGACGGTGCCCATCTCAGTGACTAGCCACACGGTGCTGTGCCCCACACGCCCAAGCGATTCCAACCCTTCTTGGGCCATTTCTGGGCTGGGCCTGTGTTGCCGTCTCCTGTCCCCTCCTGGATCTCCTGGAACGTTAAGGGGACAGAGGAAGCTATCAACTCAGCCGTCGTCCGCTTTTGGCCTGGCCTCTGAGCACATCCCCACTTTGGTTTGTCGCGCGGCCCTCACAGAAGGCTCTGACCGCTGTTCCTTCAGCGCACGCTTCCAAAAGCAAGAATTCACTGTGACAGCCGAGGTGTGGAAGTGATAACGGGCTCACATCTACTACCTGAGATCCTACAGTCGGGCTCTGTGTCCTACGTGACCCCTAGAGAATGCAGTTACGTTCAGGTGCCTGGTGTTCCATATACGTAGTGCAAACAAATCTGCCCTCTGGTAGAGTTCCAGTATTTCCCGTGTGTAAAGAATTTTAAGCAAAGAATCAGAAGGTCTGAGCTTTAAATTGAGTCCTGTGCCTTCGTGAACTGTGGAGGCCGGCTAGCTTCTCCCCTTGAAATGCTAGTTTCCTGGCAGCCTGTTAACTGACACAGGGCTGCCGGGAGACGCGAGCTCGCCCATGGTGGGGAAGGCAGCAGGTATTTGGAATGTTCTGCAGCATGAGGGGATCATCCTCATTGCTACCGTCTATGGAAAGGGACTCTTCATGTTTCAGTGGGTTAACTAATTTAATCTCCACAAAAACCTTATGAGGTGTAGACACGGTCATTGTCCTCACTTGACAGGTAAGCTAACTGTGTTAGTTTGGGTCTGCTGGAAAGCAAACGTCAGGGCGGGGTCAGCTGTGTAAGAGACTCGCTGGGGGAGGGCGTGGGAGGAGGGGAGCACTGCCCTCAGCCCACAGCGCTCCTCTGACACCCGTGGAAAGAGCGGGAACAATGACTGGGGAGGAGGAGGCTTGGCCAGGCAGTCAAAGGCAAGTCCGAGGCACAGGCACACGCCGGAGGAGCCGTGCGTCTCCGTGGACTGGTCCTGCCTCGGTCTCGCTCTGTGTGCAGGCGCTGGCTGGGAGCGGACATCGGATACGGGGCCCCGGGGACAGCAGCTGTGGCCTGTGGTCAGTTCTGTCCCCTGATGCCGGGAGCCGCTCCCCTTCTTGGCCACTGCAGTCATGGAGACACAGCTAAGTGACTCACCTGAGGTCACCCTGCCAGTAAGCGTGGGGCCACGTTTCTCCTTGGCGGTGTGAATCCAGAGTCCGTGCTCTGAACCACTGCCCCTCCTGACTGCCGAGTCCCTGTGGCTGTAACTTTAAAACAGGAGGTCTGGGGGTGTGCCTAGGTGGCTCAGTCAGTTAAGTGTCCCGACTCCTGATTTCGGCCCAGGTCATGGTCGTTAGATTGAGCCCCCGCATCAGGCTCCAGGCTGACAGTGTGGAGCCTGCTTGGGATTCTCTCTCTCTCTCTCTCTCTCTCTCTCTATCCACCCCCACTCTCCCTCTCTCTGCCCCCCCACCCGCTTGCACTCCATCTCTGTCAAATAAATAAAACATTAAAAATAAAATGAGATCTGTAATCACACAAAAATGGGCATTCGAAAGTGGCATTAAGGAATGAGTCCTGTTCATAGAAATCATCTCAAAAAAATTGAGGATACTTTTGAAACATGCTTATCTTGCTGTAATTTCTCCGTAAGTTCACCCGAGCCTTTGCTGAGGCAGTTTCTGTGGTAGGACCGTTAACGTGTCTCAGAGGAATTAATTCAGGAAGCCTACCCGGTCAGCCCCCGCTCTCGTTCTTTCTCACAGACGTGCTGTGAGAACAGTGTTCTGGTTTCAGAATTCCAGGACTGGAACTTTAATAGTTCTCTGAATTCTAATACTTTGATCATCCGTGCCTTTTTATTTTTTTTTTTGTTTTAAATTTTTTTTAATGTTTATTTATTTTTGAAAGAGAGACAGAGTGAGAGGCAGAGGGTCAGAGAGAGGAGTCACAGAACCCGAAGCAGGCTCCAGGCTCCAAGCTGTCAGCACAGAGCCCGACACGGGGCTTGAACTCACGGAGTATAAGATCATGACCTGAGCTGAAGTCGGACGCTTAACTGACTGAGCCACCCAGGCGCCCCTCATCTGTGCCTTTTTAAAAGGAGTTTGTGTGTGTGTGTGTGTGTGTGTGTGTGTGTATTTTTAATCAAGTACATGTTCATTGATCATTCAAAAGCCCATTTTCTGACTCTTCCTATATTCTGCTCAGAAGTGCAAAGATCTGGACCATTTTCAGTATTTTGGTTTCCTCTCTCTCTCTTTTTTTAGAGAAGAGAGAAGGAGCACAAGGGGAGAAGAGGGAGAGGGAAAGAGAGAGAATCCTAAGCAGGCTCTACACTCAGCACGGAGCCCAGCGCAGGGCTCAAACCCGCGACCCCGGGATCACAACCTGAGCCGAAATCAAGAGTCGAATGCTCAACCGACTGAGCCACCCAGGAGTCCCAGTATTTTGGTTCTTTAGAGCTCTCACTGTGTGTGCTCCTTCAGTGTATCTTTTTAAAACATCTTCGTTTTAAGCATTTCCTCTGTTCCTATGAGTAAGGACTTTTCACCCCAGCGAGCGAATGTCCAGAAGATAAATTCAAGGAGCTGTAAGCAGAGGAGACGTAAATAGTCAGCAAACACCGGGGAGAAGGTTCAGCCCCTCGATCGAGGCAAACTTAGACGCTGCTGCACTACCACTTCACAAACCAATAAAATTCATGCAGAGAGCAATAAAATTGGTGCGATCATTGGCAGGCGTGAGGATTGTGAGAAAATGCCCTTAGAGACACTGGACCAACTTGTGTAGATCAGTGGGACAGTACACAGTGAGAGGCAGATGATCGTACCACTTGGCCCAGGGCCCCGACTTCAGGGACTTTATTCCAGGCAAGAAACAAGCGAAAGACACGTATGTGTCATACACCTAAATGCCGGAAGTTGTCGACGTCGACAATCCATGAGGTGTGTCCAGACTATTACAGTGAAATAGAGTTTTATCACCAAAGTAAACGTGTCACCGGATTATTGCAGTGATATCGGAGAGATGAGCACGGGCAGTTTCAGCGATAGAGGATGCACCCCGGGAAGCAGTAAGGGACAGACCTCAGTCCAGCGCCCTCAGTCTGAGAGCCACTGCTAGAATAGGAAAGCCCCTGGAAGATCCTGGATGTGACTACATCTCAAGAGTATCTCCTCCTTTGTTTTTTTATAATGTTTATTTTTGAGAGAGGGAAAGAGCGTGCGTGAACATGGGAGGGGCAGAGGGAGAGGGGGACAGAGGATCCAAAGCAGGCTCTGCACTGAGAGCAGTGAGCCGGATGCGGGGCTTGAACTCACAAACTCTGAAATCACAACCTCGGCCGAAGTCGGACACTCAATCAACTGAGCCACCAGGAGCCCCAAGAGTATCTCCTTTGAAAGAATCATTTATTGTCTGGGGATAGTTCAAGTTTGTCTCACCAAGGAGGGGCTGCTCTGCCCTGTTGCTCTGGGAGGGGGTGAGTAACACTTTGTCTTTATTTCCCGCAGCATCTCAGTACGAATTCGCTCTGGTGAAATCCTTTTTCTGCAGGATCCGGTAAGTCTCGGGGCTTGTGGGGGCCGGGAACGGTGGGTTATGTTCTGATTTTATTTGGTACTTTTTAGATTCTTCTGGATTCATCTAGGACTCCGATCTTGCCATCAGAAGTTTGTATTTTGTTTATTTTTTTAGTGTGAGAGAGAACAAGTGGGGGAGAGGGGGAGAGAGAATCCTAACTCAGCAGGCTCCATGCCGAGCACAGAACTCAACACACGGGGCTCGATCTCACAACCCTCAGATCATGACCGGAGCCAAAATCAAGAGTCAGATGCTTAACCAGCTGAGCTATCCAGGCACCCCAAGAAGTTTGTATTTTGATTGGGAAGAGACATACATTCACAAAATGCCTACCTACATAAAACTGCAATCAGGAAAAAGGGCAAAAAGATTCTTGTTAGCCAGTGATGCAGGGAGGGGCATTGTCTCTCTCTCTCTCTCTCTCTCTCTCTCTCTCAACCACTGTATGGTAAGTTAACTGTCAAATGGCCATTGTTTTAGGTTCTTTTGTTTTTGGTTTTTGGGTTTTTTTCGGTTTTTTTTTTTTTTTTTTTTTTTTTTTTTTTTTTTTTTTTGCTTTTTGTCCTTTGGTCACATTTAAAAATTAATTTTTGAAATTTCTGTGCCTCATGTGGGGCTTGAACTCACAACCCTGGGATCAGGAGTCACATGCTCTACCGACTGAGCCAGTCAGGTGCCCTGAATTTTTGAAATTTTCAATAACTTTAAAGGAAGATAGATCTGTTCAAGGGAAGGATTTAAAATGTCCAGATATAGTGAACCAGAAGAAAACAGACCAAAATTTTAGTAGTAGTTGATTTCTGGTAGGAGTCATTGGTGACTTTTACTATAATTTGTTCCTGTTACTTTGTCAATAAAAAGAAAACGTGTTTCAACGATGTTATGATTCCCAGTATTAGTACTAAAGTTCCTAAATGCTCCAGACGTGTGGAAACCTAAAGAGAACACGCCTTGTAATGGATTAGTCGGCCGCTCCGTGGGGTTGGGGGAACTTGAGTAATGGTATTCCGGTGCTTGGGGGAGCAATACCCCGGGGAAGGTGTGCAGGAGGGAGGGCTGTGTTGGTTCATTCATTCCTTTACAGAGGAGTTCTTATGAAGAGCTTAGAACAGTGCTTACCACATAGTAAGTGCTGTTTGTGTTTGTTTTATTAGTAAACATACCTGTGTGCCTTCTCTGAGCCAGGCGAGGCTACAGGTACAAAGTTCTTGCCCTCATGGACCTTACATTCTGTGTGTAGGGGACCAATAATAAACAGGTGCCTGTGTATGTGTCAGCTGGCGGCAAGTTCCGTGTAGAACAGTGCAAGAGAGTAAGGGAATTCTGGGCAGTACAGAGATGACTAGTGTTCTCAGGGGGGTCAAGGAATCTTCTCTAACGAGAAGCGTGATTGGAGCCAGAGTCTGAAGGAGGTGAGAGAGTGAGCCACACCTCTCTGAGAAGAGTGTTCCAGATAAGTGCAAAGGCCCTGGGGCGGAGCATGCTTGGCCTGTGGGCAGAGTGACAAGGAAGCTAATGCTGCTGGAGCACAGGAGGGGGTGAGCAGGAAGGACAGGAAGAAACAGGGAGCTTTGACTTCTGAAGGAAACGTTTTGTTCAGGTCTATCATTTATTTGAAAACTTTAGTTTTTGAATTTGCAAAATAAAGGGAAGTAGAGGAGAAAGGACAGTGGACCGGTATGCACTTACCATTCCGCCTCGATAACTTTAACCCACGGCCAGTGGTCTGTCATCTCTGCCACCACCTGCTCCTCAGCCCGCCCTCCCCATGATTCTGAAGCAGAATCTCAGGTCGTGCGTCATTTCTTCCATTGGCATCTCAGAATGGGATCTAAAAGATAAGCTTCCCATTAATGTCTGTGGTGCTCAAATTGTCCCGTCTGTGGCCAGCCGGAGCCCCTTCGGGTTAGCTCTGGGGCCGTGTGAGGGCGCCCCTGTGGTCGGTGACAGCCTCCTTGGCTTCAGGGATGATGTCCCACCCAGCCTCTTCCCAGACATTTCCTGCCTCAGACACGGAGTCAGTTGTTTCTCCAAGGATCCCTCACTCCTCGTGCTGGGAAGTGGCATCACCATCCGGAGACCAACTCTGCATGGTGGGGGGGCGGGGAGGTTGCTAAGCTTATCATGGCTTCTAGCCATTCTCAGTTTCATCTTCCAGAAGGATGGTAACTGGTAATTGGTGTTAAAAAAGGACCGCGTTGGGCGCTGTGCTGGGGATGGCGTGGGCGCGACAGGCAGCAGGTGCACGGGGGGGAGGGGATGCGGAAGTGTCTTGGATATCGTGGATAGATTTGTATGGGAGAGTTACTGGAGTTTATCCACGGTCGAGGTTGGGGTGTGAAATGGAGGCTGAGTCGAGGTGGCGCAAGAGTCTTTGGCTCCAGTCGCCGTGTGCGGGGGCAAAGGAGACTAGGAAGGCAGCTTCCTGGAGCGGAGGGCAAGAGTACAAGTTAGGTTCGCCTTACCTGTTGGGAATCTGCCCGTGCTGTTGAGCAGGCGGGGTCCATGAGTCTGGAGTTGCGGGAGAATTCCGGGCTAGAGGCAGGGACTCGGGTCGCCTGCGCACACAGGGCATCGCAAACCCCATGGCGGGGTGGGCCTGGGAGATGCACACACAGAAGTCGGAGGGAGCGGGAGACACAGGCTCAGCTCGTGGCTCAGGGTCCGGGGAAGGCCACCCTCTTCTCAGTGGCGGAAGCGGGTTCGTGGTGGAGAGTGGGGGCACTGGTGGAGGTGCCGGAGTCTGCAGAGAGGCGAATGAGCGAGGTGGGGGTGGGAGTGCGTGTGCACGTGGCCACGGACGGACGTGGAGCTTCTAGGCCACTACAGACTGTTTGACACCTATGTAAATGACGGTGGGAGAGGGGATGTGACTGGTAGAAACAAGGGAGTATGAATTCAGTTGTGGGCACATGGACACTAAGGGGACCGTCGTATCCAAGGAGAAGTGTCCTCTGGGCAGCTGGAGCTGTGAAACGGTGACAGTCTTGGAGTCGAGCCGCCCCGACCCAGGGAGGTGCCCCACAGCGGGGGTTGGGGCTTGGCCAGCAGGTTGCAGCCCTGCTTTCCGGCTCAGGCAGGCACGTAAGGAGTGTTCAACCGCACACAGGGCCCTGCGCCCATCAGGTGTGGCTAAAGCAGTAAGACTGAGTCAGTCCCCTGAGAGACAGAGGAAGGGACGGTGAAGAACTGGCTTTGGGGGCACGATCACAAGGAACCCTGTTTCCTGTCATGTGGTACTTGGTTTAGACGCATGAGGTAAGATAGGTAGTTACACCTGTCCCTCTTGGAAGAAGCGGGAAGTCACATTGGGAAGTTAGGGTTTGGCGGTCAGAAGGAAAGTCGCAGGATGGCTGGTTCCAGTTTTAACTCACTAAGCTGGTTCTCCATAAAGCCTCTTTTTTTTTTATAAGTTTATTTTATTTTGAGAGAAAGAGAGCTGGGGAGGGGCAGAGAGAGAAGAGAGAGACAGAGGTGCCACACTGTCAGCGCAGAACCTGATGTGGGGCTCGAACTCAACAAATCACGAGATCATGACCTGAGCTAAAACCAAAAGTCAGATGCTTAACCCACTGAGCCACCCAGGCGGGCAGCTTTTCATAAGACCTCTTTATCTCTGAATAATGAATAAGTATAATTGCCTTGGGGTATTGAAAATATAAACTAATGTTTCTCTTCTCTTTCAAATAAACACGTTTAAACATTTTAGACTTGATCTGTCTGTCTCAGAAATTACCAATAAGACATTTCTCCTGCCTGGTTTCACGTTGGGCTAATTGAATGCGTGAGGACAGGCACTCATCATTTTTATTCTTTTCAGTGGAGGCGAAGTCAGAGAGCAAGAGAAGCGTTACTACCCATTCCGGATTATTCCCTATTTGATGCGCATACATGTCTCTACCCAGAGGGAACCTGAGTCGTGCTGTCTCACCCTGGTGGAGAAAGTTCGCTCTGGTTATGAAGGTGAGTCCGGAGTGTCTGCTTTTAGATCAGACGTAACCTGTCAGCACATCAGGTGGGAACACGTGAAAGCCTGTTTACTGAGCTGTGGAACCAGAAAAGAGCTCTCAAGGCTTCAGCTTGGCCCCGAACTCTGTGGGCATCTGTAGCATATAGCAGATCTTCCCTGATGTGTATTTACTACCCTTGACTTCTTGCGTGCTTATCTCCTTCAAGGCAGCAGCATGGCCCAAGGGTCTAAGCACAGACTTGGCCACAGATATGTGATCCTCTGACCCTTTCTGTACTGGGGACTGACCTATGGCCTTTTGCTTCTGCCCTGTGTGAAATAGCATAGAAAGTGTGGCACAGAAACATCACAAAAACGAATTTGTGTTTTTTAAGTGTTTTGAAATCCCTTGAGTAAAAACTATAGTTTATCTTCTGATGGCAGAACTACATTTCTAAATTCATGCATTAGTACGGAAGTAGCTTACATTTATTATTTGCAATTACAGTCCGCTCTGCTGTAACCTGACATCTGCTTCCTTAAAAATTACTGTCCTGTGCAAAATAAACCCCAAACACACATGCACAAAACCACAGGGCTTATGGGAAAAATGGGTTTTAGGGGCACAACACTCAAAACACTTAACTGCACATTAAAAATAAGACACGAATCTAATAAAAACAGTAACGGTTTTACACATTAAATGGTTAAGAAATACACAGTCGCTGCAGTAAATATGGCACCTCACCTTGAAAAAGCCCCGCGATGGCTTGTGGCTGTGGGTGTTGGCACCTGCCACGGCTCCTGAGTTACTGTGGAAGGAGGGGGGTGGAAGGAAGGTTGTCTGAAGTCAGATGTGGACGGGCATGGTTCGTAACACGCAGCGCACAGAGGTAGCCATAGGTGTTTGAGGGGTGTGCGTGTGTTTGTGTATTCGTGGGTGACTCTGTTCACCTCTCGTGTCTTGCAAATGAAATTGTGCGTGATTTCAAATCACTCCACTTGCAAAATGAATTACAGCAGAATTGGCCACACCAATTATATTACATAGATTTGAAATCTCCAAATCACGCCGACACCAAATCCAGGGTGCTCAGTTACACACAACCACCAAATACAACCATGCTTTCTAGTCCTGACCTTTAATTTCCCCTTGCTTTGACTGTTGGATTCTTTGTGGTGAGTAAGCTTTTCGTGTACACAAATTACTTAAAATGAACTTTAGGAGGGCGCCTGGGTGGCTCAGTCAGTTGAGCATTCAACTTGGGCTCAGATCCTGATCTCACAGTTTGTGCGTTTAAGCCCCGCGTCGGGCTCTGTGCTGACAGCTCAGAGCCTGGAGCCTGCTTCGGATTCTGTGTCTCCCTCGCTCTCTGCCCCTCCCCCACTCATGCTCTGTCTCTCAAAAATGAATAAACATTAAAAAAAATAAAAAATTAAATTAACTTTAGGGGCACCTGAGTGGCTCAGTCAGTTAAGCTTCTGATTCTTGATCTCAGCTCAGGTTTTGATCTCAGGGTCGTGAGTTTGAGCCCTGCATTGGGCTCTGCACTGGGTGGGAAGCCTTAAAAAAAGAAAGAAAGAAAATTAAATTAACTTTATTAGGCATTGCATTTTGACTTAATTAAAATGGAGTTAATGAAAATTATAATTTAACTATAGCTTTGGCTACTTAAAAGCCAGGCGCCCTAAGTGACATTTCTATCATTTCATATAGAGATATTGTTTCCTTTTTAATGTAAGTGGTTAGTTAAGTAAATGACTAATTAGATATTTGCCTTTAGGTGAGTCTTTCTGTTTTTCATAGCTCCTCGAATCCCGATGGATAAAAGAATTTTTACCACAACACACACCCCAGGGTGTGTTTTTCTTGAAATAGACGAAAGGTAAGTACTTCTTTAGGCCTGAAAGACATTTGTTTCTGAAAACAGAGAAAAATGTGAGAACGTTTACATTATGTTTACATACTTCTACATTATGTAACAGACATCTATCCATTTGCCCATTTGATTTCTGTTAGTTTGCAGTTTATTTTTAATATAAGTAGTTAGCATATTCTAGTTCTCAGATTTAAATTTGATTTCAGATTTATGTTTGATTTCACAATAGTCTGCTTTAGGTAAGTCAGGACTTAATTATTGTTCTATTTCACACAAGAGGACAATGAACCTGGCCACATAGTATGTGATGTGTTTGAAATGGGACCAAAACTCTGGCCTCCTTCTTCCTGTGCCAAAGTGATTTCCACCAGACAAGGGCTTCCCCAACCAGGCTTTGATGAAATGTTTATTAGTCTGAAGTGAGGGGGGAAACAAAGGAAAAATAAGAACAGGTTTTGTTTTTGTTTTTTTTTTTTGGTAAAGGTAAGTTTATTTAATTTAAAACATTATTACTTATTTTGAACTTACATCCTTTCTACTTTTTTGGTATTAAAAGAGTCTTAAAGAAGAGTGATAGTAGATAGTAGTTGTTCCTTATTATTGTTTTTTAAATAAATTGATTTGGAAAAAGAAACATTGTTATCCCCTGATGAGTACCCTCTGTTTTCCCCCACATTTATTTTTAAATTTTACTTATTCATGAAATGTGAAAATCTGGGGATCGGTGCACCACGGCACACGTAAGCGTAGAGCAAAAGAGTCAGAAAAGCTGGCACGGTTATGATAGTTATTCGTTTTGATTTTTAAAAAATCTTAACATCTGAAAATAGGCTTATTTAATAGTAGACAGCCTGAAACTAAACAATAACAGCGAAATACTCCGTATAGAAAGTAAGTAAATACTCATCTATAGAAAGTAAGAACATTTAGCTGGAGATATTTAACGGTTTACATTTATTGCATGAGAAAGTATTTGTGCATTTGTACACACAGAAAACATTTATGAGGTCAGGTCTTCCTAAGTCATCCTGAAGATTGAATTCACAGCTTTCCCATGAACCTGCATCCCGCCCACGTTTCTGCGTGCCAGTTGTCTGTCTGTCATCACCTTCTAGGCGACATTGCTTATGTACAGTCTTAACCATGCCGTGTAAATTTGTAGCCCCCCCATTCATTTGACATCATAAACATTTTTCTGCATTATGGTGTGATCTTTGTAAACTTTTTTTAAGGAGGGGGGCATCAGAGACCCCCGAGGAACTTGCTAAAAATGCGGATTCCTGGTCTTACCCCAGCAGCCCTGACTTAGCCTGTGGTGAGCCTGTGAATCGTCTTGTAGCAAGTTCCGCCGGTGATTTTGATGCACTCTGTCTGATGACCAGCATTTCTTAGATTGTGTAACCATTTCCCCAGCATGGGCACTCGGGTGGTTTGCTCTTATAAATGCGGTAATGACATCTTCCGCGTACCTGTTTTTTCTTTCGTATTTAGAATTAAGTAAAAAAGTATTTTTAAAAGTGTATAAAGTAATAAAATTGCTTGCTGCGTGTAACATGCTGCCCGTGCTGTGTGTGTCCCCAGAGCGGTGTCTCTGCCGGGTTACCTACCTCAGGATCTGCTGGGGACATCCATCTTGGCGTACATGCACCCCGAAGACCGTTCTCTCATGGTTGCCATACACCAAAAAGGTGAGGGCCTGCTTCTTTACAGGAGCAACCGCTCATCTGCTCCGACTCTCCATTTCATTTCATGTTAGAGCTCCTCTTAAGGTCTAATCACTACAGCTCACCCTTCAACAGGTAAGCAGTGTGTTGAAGCTGCCAAAACAGTTTCTTCTCTATTTGGACATTTCTGAAAACCTCACTAAATGCCTGGGAACAGCCATTTGCAATAAATACCTGCGTTAAATAAATTCTAATCTCGTGGTATTCTCTTATTTAGTCTTGAAGTATGCAGGCCACCCTCCCTTTGAACACTCACCCATTCGATTCCGTACCCAAAATGGAGATTACGTCATATTGGACTCCAGCTGGTCCAGCTTCGTGAACCCGTGGAGCCAGAAGGTTTCTTTCATCATCGGTCGGCATAAAGTTCGAACGTAAGTCCATCAGTGTTGGTGTTTTATAGAAGGACTTTTTTTTACCAAATAATATTCTTCCACCCACTGACACCCTTTGAATCAATTGACACATAAACCGAATAAAGCACAGAATGTTTTTAAAGTGCTTTTGGAATACAGTGTGGCAGTACGCGTCAAGAGCCTTAAAAGATTTCTACCACTTTGACCCCATGATTCCCTTATGGGAACAGTCTAAGGGAACATGCCTAAATACAGAAAAGCTTTACAAAGAAAAGACATCTTTTGCACCATTGTTCAATCATAATGACAGACTTAGAGCAGCTTATATGCCCATCATTAAGAAAGTTCTGGAATATTTGACATGTTGTATTATTGGTCAATACAAATTTTTGCAAAGATTATATAACATGAGAAATTGATAATAGATTAGACTTAAAAAGCAGCATACAAAATTGCTGATGCCATATGGTCATAACATGTTCAAAAGACAAACATTGTAAAACAGGAAAAAAAAGAAGAAAGGTAATACATTAAAATACAGATTTTGGCTATGTGTAAGGTAATGGGGAGATAAGGGTTTTTTTTTTTTTTTCTCTTCTGAATTTTAAAGTTCTCTTTACTGAGTGTGTAAAAACTTTTTGTATCAGCTTCTGCTGTCAAATTCCACTTATTTGTGTCCATTTTATCAAATCTTTTTTTTTTTTTTAAGTTTATTTATTTTAAGAGAGAGAGTGTGTGTGTGGGAGGGGCAGAGAGAGAGGGGGAGACAGAGGATCCCAAGCAGGCTCTGCTCTGTCAGCACAGAGCCTGATGTGGGGCTTGAACTCACGAACCGCGAGATCATGACTTGAGCCTAAATCAAGAGTCAGACGCTTAACCCACTGAGCCACCCTGGCACCCCTCAAATCTTTATTTTTTTAAAAATTCGATGCTTTTTAGTTTTTATTTTCCTGCCCAGCACGGCTGACTCAAGCCTCTTTGATGGCTGCCGCTTGTCCGTGTGACAGGACCTTGTGAAATGGACCTGAAACAACCTGGCCCGCCATTCCTGTCCCCTAAAATACTCCGAGCCTCTTGACTTTTTGGTTTAAAATTTAAAACTGACCTGCAGGTTTCTCAGCTGGGCCGTAGGCTCTTCACACAGACTGTGAAGTCTTTGTTTTGGAAGCACGGAAATTATACTTAACTCTTCAGGATCCTGCTGAGATTGAGAAATTAATTCTGTCTTCTGTGTTTTGTTGTGCAGCTTTGTGCACATGAACGCAAAGCTGGGAGCAGTAGGTCTGCCGGTAAGACTTACTTTGGCACGTCTTCATACTGTAATCGAGGGCACCTAGCCGTGGCAGGAAGAGGTCCCAAGGTCCTCCCGCGTCGGTGTACATCTGGGTTCGGCCCTCAGCGGAGCAGATCTGGAACCCTAAGCAGAGAAGTGGGCTCCATGCCGCCCTAACTCATGAGACCAAATTTGTGCTAGGGAGCTAGTGTAATAATTGGGATAAGAAATATGACTGCCCAGTAAGTGTTATTCACGTTGGTCAGAAAGGACATTTTTTTTCCAGTAGGAAAACCTGTGGGGAAATGAAAATAAGCAGGTGGTTGCTTAGTATGACTGTGAGAAACCCCAGGGCAGGTATGATTGCTTTCATGAGACATCTGTCTACTGGTCTGCGTACCCTCCCTGTCAGTGCCAGAGCCACGTCCCAGATGCCCCAAGTGTCCTTTCAGTTTTTTTATTATTAACTGATACCCAAGTGCTCCCCACGTCTGCAGATTAAAAAAAAAAAAATTATACCTGTGTCTGCATCTCAGTTTTCAGAATTATGTAAGGGAAGTATTCAGAGTCTAGTAAGTATTAATCTTGTAATATAATTGTAAGGTAATTGTTCATAGTGTTTATAAAATGATTTTAACAAGTGCTTAGGGACCCCTGGCTGTGTCAGACATCATGCTAGACCCTGAGAACGAGATGGTAAACCAGACAGACGTCCCCTCTACCATCACAGGGCCCCTAGTGTAGCAGGAGAGCCAGGATATGGAGGTGGCACGGTCACCTGTGAGCAGAGCTTTGGAGAGTGTGGCAGTTGAAGCAGGAAGTGGATAGTTAGCAGGGACCCTAACTGTCTGTGGGCAGGCAGGTTATGTGCTGTTTCCTCTCATTCTACACTTAAAATCCGTGTTTGGCGAAAGAGTAACCCTGGCAGAGGTCACTGAGGGGAGGAAGTTGCAAATGCAGACGAGAACCAGGTTTTCTCCCTGACTCCTCGTGTGCCTTCCTTCCATCCCTGGTGCTGCCCGGCATTTGCTGCTGCCCCACAAAGGCCCTGTCTCTGCAGCCTCCACATTAATCGTCTTGAGTTACATGATTAGTGATTGAACATACAACTTCCCTTTGTAGAAAGTTTCACCAACAGGAATACGTAAATCTCATAATACAAAGCAGTCTGCCCTATTTCCATTTTGGAATTTCACTTGAAAAATAAAACCCAAACATTTTTGGAAGGTATTCAAGCTTATAGTGGACGGATGCATTGATCACAAATCAGATGTACTTTATTCAACCAGCCTGCCCCTTCACTGACGTATTCCTGCTTGTACGTGCCAGGCACTGTTGGAGGCACTGGAGAGGTGAACAAAATCGACCAGAGAGCCTCACCCCACAGTGCTCGTGTGGCAGTGGGAGGCACAGGCAACAGACCAATGGAGTGTCGCATACAGTGCGCCAGGCTGTGCGTTCCAGTACGGTTTGCCATTTACGTACCACATGCACGATGCTGTGCTGATAGGCATTGGTTGGCACCATCCACGGTCTGTGCACCGAGGGAGTCGACGTTGCCGGGGGCGGGGGGGGGGGGGGGGGGTCTGGACAAAGAGGGAGGTGGTCTCCGGAGGCAGAGCTCTTCCTGACTGACGCTGCCAACATCCTGTGGTTTGTGGATAATTACTTCTGTCTTTGGGACAGCATCTCAGTTTTTAGGGAATTGGGCTGTGTGTTTAAGTTGCGAGAAACAGTGGCTATGGCAGAATGGAAAAAGGAACGCGTTGACTTTGGAGTCAGGCATGCCGACTGGAACCCTGACTACTGCTTCTGCGTCAGGTGACTCAGCAAGGGTCCAGACCTGTCTGGCATCATGATGATTCCTGCTTTGTAGGGTCTGGAGGACTCAGGGGATACTTGCCTGACTCAGTAGATCGTATCAGTGGTACCTTAGTTACTCAGGTACCAAGAGGCAATACGCCACCGTAGCAAACATGCACTCTGGAGCCCAGGCTCTGGTCCCTTTGTGAATACCTGCTTAGACTTCACCAGCTAGGTGACCTCGGGCAAGTTTTCAACTCTGGTGAAGGACGTAATACTTGCTAGAGCATCTGGAACGGTGCCAGATGCTGAGCACCGATGCTGGCGCCTCGGAAGGACTTAGAAAATGTTATTCTTGCTGTGTGTTATAAAAGATACATAGAAGTCAGTTCCTGCATAGAAGTCAGTTCCTTCCCTTCTTCGCGATGATTTCTGCTGGCATTTCTGCCCCTGGCTGTGTTCAGGTAGTAGTTTTAAAAGGCTCTAGTATAAACAAGACTAAGGGTACCATGACAGCCACGTTTTCACCAATAGGTGGGTGGCAGAACTACCTTTATAACATAACTGAAGTGCTTGGGTACGTTAAACATTAAATGTTGTCTGGCAGACCTAGGGTCTTAAAATTCCTAGCATAGGTTATTCAGTTAATGTTGAATTTTGAAACCAGTAGCTGGTGAAGATACTTTGGTAGGTGGAGAGGTTACTTGTCACTGATTTTAGGTTTCTACAGATTCAGTGCTGACACAATTGTGGAAAGAAAGATTAGAGCTCTAGACAAGCCAGAGAAGCCTCTTAATGTCTCATTTGTTTCTTAGTATTTTCTCTGCCTCCATAAATGGAATTTTAGCTTTATATTTTCTGTTTGAAGTCAGAGAGTTGCTTTGTGTAAGTACAGATTTATTATTTGAACATTCTGTTTAAAGGTCACCTTAGACATGGGGTGCCTGGGTAGCTTAGTTGGTTGAGTATCCAGCTTCTGCTCAGGTCATGATCTCACGGTTCGTGGGTTTGAGCCCCACATCGGGCTCTGTGCTGACAGCTCGGAGCCTGGAGCCTGCTTCCATTCTGTCTCCCTCTCTCTCTGCCCCTGAAAACGTTAAAAAATTTTTCTTAATTTTAAAAATTAAAAAAAAAATCACCTTAGACTTTATTGTAAATTCATTTTGAATTGCTTGACTCCATCTTTCACTTGGCACCTTGTAGGAGTCCGCTGAATGAGGATGTTTTCGCGACCCAAATAAAAAAGACGAACCATAATGACAAAGATGTAACAGAATTGCAAGAACAAATTCACAAACTTCTCTTACAGGTAAAGTGAGATTTTAAAAAGCAAACACAAAATTTCCATAGTTGTGTTTTATTTTAACATTTGCTCATAGTGAAGTCACTTCACAAAGGTACACCGCAAGGAGAGAAAAATCTTTACCGTCTGTGTTCCGGGAGTTTTTGTTTTCCTGGTTGTTTTTTAAATTGTTTTATTAATCTTGTTCCTGACTGAAACGCACAGAACATTCTTTTAAGATCCCATTCTAAGCAAATCGAGTCATAGTAGGCAGGTAAGACAAGGAAGCTATTTCTAAATGAGAACATCCTTCTTGTATTTCCAACACTAGCCATGTGTTCAACTTCTGGGATCTGCCGTATTTTTTTAAACAATAATTCTAATTGTAAAGGATGCGGGCAGAGGGATGGCAGGTCTCAGAATCTCTGGTTACTCCAAAACAAACGTGGCAAAAACTACTTCTTGAAAGCAGATGCCAAAAATGATTTCTACTGGAGACCCAACTAATAAGCTTGTGAAGCGTTGACTGATGTCACACAGAAAACCGTGCGCCCCCGGGCATAAGCGTCTTTTGTAAAGTCTCTAGGGTTTGTGAAGTAAGTTCGTGGAAAAAAGTATGGTATTTAATTTGTTCCGTCTGTTCCAAACTCAGCATAAAGAACTACTAGAATTGACTGTCCTATTTTGTGACCTCTCTTATAACCATGTGGCTTTCTAAAGACTTGTTCTAGAAATGTCCACCGGGCTAGAAAACTAGACTTTGCCCTTGAGAGTTACCGAACTTGAGAGGAATGTCTTTTTTGTCAGCCTCGGGCCGGAAGCATGGAGCTTCACACACCGCACGTAGGATTTCGGAAGCGTTCACCTTCGCGTTCGGTGATCTCAGACACACTCTCGGGTGCCAGACGCTGTGCCTGTCCCCTGGCGGCCCGCACCCCGTAACGCTGACACCCGGCCCCCTTTTCCAATCAGCCGGTTCACAAGAGCGCCTCCGACAGCTGTGGGAGCCCGGGGGGCAGCACCTCGCAGGAACAGCGCGTCAGAGGCGCGTCGTCTGGTGAGGCCGGCGGACCCCGCGCCGCGCACGCGCACCGGGAGCCGGTACGTGAGCCACGTCGCGTCTGCGCCGGCGCGCCCTCCACCCTCTGCGTCCTCGGAGCGCGTGTGCGCCGCTCCTGCACCTCAGCGCCTGTGACTTCCTGTTACAGATTCTGGACCTTACTCGATCGCAGACGCCCTGCTTACCCCATTTTGGTTTGAAACAATGGCTGTTGAAAGAAAATACCAGCTTTGGAAGGTGATATTTGGGTTTATTGTACGATTTCTGAAGATTACCGTTTTGCGAATAGACGTGTCTAAAGTCTCATTTGTACTGGCCGTGCCGAGGCCCGGGGAGGAAAGTGAGTTAACGTGGTCACTGTGTTCTCAGCCGACATGTCCTCAGAGAACCGGAAGTTACGTGTGTTTTGTTCGTGTATCTTTTAATGTACATGTTTATAATTTCTGAAGCACCTTCTCTCATTCTTTTCCCTCAGCTGACTTTGCAGCAGGTCTCCGCCAGTCTAAACAAAATTAAGAATCTCGGTCAGCAGCTTTACATTGAGTCAACGGCCAAGTCACCAGATAAGCAAGTGACGGCGATGCGCACAGGACGGCTTGGCGGTGAGTCAGTGGAGCAGCGCCCAGACCTCCTCCCACGGCTCTGCCCTCTCCTGGGGTGACGTGGGCGTGTGAGCAGAAAGCCACAGGCCGGTGCTGTCACCTTTCACCTTTCCTTGCCCGGGTGACGAGAGCAATAATGATAATGGGAGCAGCAAATACTGCTCGGGAAGCTAAATGGTATTATAGTGTATTTCCACTAAAGAATTAATGTTTTCGGTAACACCAGCAGATTCATAGATTCTTCCGAATAAGGTATCTATAAATCAAAAAAGTTAATTAAAATTTTTTTAATTTTTTTTTTTGAGGGGGGGGAGAGAGAAACAGCGCAAGTGGGGGAGGGGCAGAGAAAGGGAGACCAAGAATCTGGGAAGCAAGCTTTGGGATCTGAGCTGTCAGCACAGAGCCGGAAGCAGGGCTCCAACTCACGAACTGTGAGATCATGACCTGAGCCGAAGTCCCACCTTAACAGACTGAGCCACCCTGATGCCCCAAAAGAGTTAATTTTAGAGTATGTTTCAGATTTTAGAAAGTACATTAACATAATAATTCTGTCATTTAGAACAAATGAATATTTATGACCTCAACTGAATGTAAAATTGGGGATTTTTTTTTAAATACATGTTTATGAGGTAAGGAATGTTCCTAAGGAATTGGATCAATCATGATGATTGACATTGTTTAGAAAAGTTAACCTACTGGCATTACATAGCAGAGGAAGGATCTGTGATATAACGTAGAGACCAAGTTTCATTAACTTTTTTAGTTTAGTTAGCTTTCCCTTCACTTGTCTTCCTGAATGTTAATATAACTTTGGAAGTCGTCATAGGTTTGGTCACCAGAATATTATTAATGGTCTCTATCCTTGTCAGGTGTGGGTATTTACACAGTAGGGGTGAAATTTCTTCTCTAAAGTCAATAAGAATAAAAAATAATCATAGCTATATCCTTCAGTACTTGCCATGATTTACACAACAAAAACATCCAACCACTGCTCTTTCAGGTGGTATCACAGGGAGCCCTGAGGCTGCCCTCCCTATACAGCATGCCCAGGCCGTGGGTTTTTCTTGTTGCCTTGGTAGGAGCACTCTGCTTGTTTCTTTTGCTGTAGCTGTAAGGGCACGAGACAGAAACAACTTTTTTTGTCCCTTGAAACCATCAGATTTCCTACCTGAAGTATCTGACTTGCTGTATGTTATTATCCCATGTCCTAGCATTGGGACTTCTTTAGGGAGATTTGACGGCTAAAATTTGTACATTTTTTCTTTATTTAAAGAAAGTGGTCCACTTTGTGCTGCTCACTGCTGCTTAGGCCTAGGACCTCATGTGAGGGCCACAGTTTTTTGTCCTGACCTCTATATTTCTTGTCAGAGTGGAAATCCTTTCTTACCTTCTGCTTTGTTCAGTTTTGTATCACCCACCATTGGCCTGGAAGTGCCATCACTGTCATGGTTTAAAGGCTGTATTCAAGTTGTAGCTAATTCTGTGCATTTACGATGCTGTTCTAGAAACTGACATTATCCCACTACTTAGCTATATGCTGTATTTGACTCTAACACACATAGGACGTGTCTTTTGGGTGAGAGGGAAGATCTGCCATTTGATAGAGCTTCGGAGAACTAATGTTACTTGGGCATCTTGATTTTATTAACATCTCAAGACCTACAAGTTTAAAGAGCTAGTAAAAAATCTTTATTACAACTTACTCAAAAGAAACAAGTATGCAGCTTCAAGATAATCTTATAATTTAAATATTAGAAATTGAGTAGAAATAAGTCCAACCGAAAGGAAAATAGTAAGTAGTCATTGTGTACATAGCTTATGTACAGGGTGCCAGAGCCAACAAGAAGATAAGGTTTTAAGTTTATATTTTTACTTTTCTTATGAGGGCAGATTAGGCTTTGAAATAGAGGAAGATGGGAAATTTTCAAAAGTTAATACGGAAAGCCAAGGACTAGCAAAGATATAAAGCCCTTTCATCAGCTTTATATACTGATGCCAGTTGCTAAAAGCAGCTAGAGAAATTGGGGAAAATGTTCCGGTTCTGGGGTGGTAGTGCTTGAGGGAGAGATCTTGATCGATGAACTGAACTCATTCAGGGTGAGCGTGCTTTGGTTTCTGCTCAGGGAGAGATGGAAAGAGCATCATTCCAAACTGAGAAGGAAAAAAGCCATATGGCAGCAAATTCATGAGCTTTCTTGAACATGTCAGAGTACTGAGGCTACGTGGCAACCAACAGGCCTAAAATCTAAGGGAGAAACGTGCTTGCAGGGAGAAGTGAGATACAGCCCTGGATACTGATGCACTAGCTGACGGAACTGGTAACTCGCAAGAGACAGGCCTCCAAGGCATAGTACCAGGGGAAGACCACAGGCTGCAAGTGGAGCAGATATAGGAAAAAACCCAAAGCTCACTTGCGCACCAGCCACCACGTAAGTACAAAATGTCACTAGAGGAATTGGAAAGCTATAACGACGTTGAATGGACCCATAGCAACGGCAGACCTTAGGCCTGGCCAACAAATTAGGTTAACTCGAACACAGACCCAGCAGAAGGAAAGGCATGCTAGTCTCCACTGTCCTACACAAGATACTCAGTTTTCAACATATGAAAAGGCAAGGAAAAAAACTCCCAGGAGATAAAGCAGCCATCTGAACAAGAGACGGATATGACACAGATGTTGGAACTACCCGACAGGGAATTTAATATATTAAAATCTATGGGACAGTGAGCAGCATGCAAAACCACATGGGTATCATAGCATAGAGATGGGACATAAAATAAAGGATCAAAAAGAAATACTAGAGTTGTAAATATGTCTTGGATGGGCACTCAACACACCCAAAAAAGGAATCCATAAACTTGAAGATCGATACATACAGGTTATGTCAACTGAAACACAAAGAGAAAGAAACATGTAGAATAGAGCCTCTAAGAACCCTGAGGCACTATCAAATGATCTAACATAAGAGTAATGGAATCCCAGAAGAAATACTGGAAATAACGACCAAGAATTTTCCACAGATAAGAAGAACACCAAGTAGCATAGATACAAAAAATAACCAAATAAAAACCAATCACAAGATAAAAACACCACATACGTGGGAAAAAAATACACCACGTACTTGGAAATACCATATTCCAATTGCCAGAAACAAAAGCAAAGAGGATATCTTGAAGGTAGCCAGAGGAACATAGAGCACATACAGAAAAACAAGGATAAGAATTACAATAGGCATTTTTTTTAGATGCTGGGGACACTAGAAAACAAAATGTCTTAAGACAAAAAAATTGTTAGTGTAGAATTCCCTACGTGGTGGAAAGTATCTTTCAGAAATGAAGGAAATTGAAAGATTTCTTAAACAAAAACTAGGCGGGGAGTGTATTGCCAGCAGATCTAGTCTATAAGAAACGCTAAGGGAATTTCTAAAGGGGGAAGGAATATGGTACCGGACATAAAACTTGGATCTACACAAAGAAATGACAAGCACTGGAAATGGAGTTAATGAAGAAGTTTTATTTTTTACATATTTTTAATTGCCCTGGAAGGTAACCAACTAACGCAAAAATACTCTTCTGCTTTTGTGGTCTATGTTAAAATACTGCAAAGGATTGGGGGAGGCACTGGAAATGTGCTGCTGTGGAGGCCTTACATCAGAAGCAATATATTATTTGGAGGTAGAAACTGATTTCTAAAAGATGTATGTTATGAAATTTAGAACAGCTATCAGAACTAGTTTCTAAAGAAGCAATAAATGTCATTTGACAAGATAAAGTGGAACTTAAAACATTTAAAGCAAAATGAGGCAGAAAAGAAACAAAAACCCAGATGGAACAAGTGGAAAACAGCTAGCAAAGTGGTACACTTTAATTCAGCTATATCCATAATCACATGAAATGTGAATGGTCTCAATATACCAGCTAGAAGACTGACACTGTCAGTGGGTGAAAAAACAAGAGGCATCTGTGTAGTATCTACAAGAACTCATTTTGCAAATAAAAATATAGGTTACGAGCAAAAGGTTACAAAAGATTCACATGCTAACAGGAATAAAAAGAAAGCCGGAAAGCTGTATTAATATCAACTAATGTAGACTTTAGGATCATGAACTTTATCAGGGAGGGTTTCAGAGGGATATTGCATGACAACAAAGTGGTTGATTCTCTGAGAGCATGTAACAGTCCTAAAAGGTTATGCACCTAACATCAGAGCTTCAAAATACATGAAGCAAAAACTGATAAAAACTTTGAGAAATAAACAAATCCTCAGTGGTAGAGACCGTAACAAACCTCTCTCTAATTGGTAAAACAAGTGGACAGAAATTTAGCAAAAGTATAGAAGATCTGAACAACACCATCAAGAAGATTGGCTTGAACATGTATGGAACATTCCAACCAACAACAACATACTTATTTTTCTGAAGGGCACATGGACCATTCATCAAGATAGACCTTATTCTAGGCCATAATACAAACCTTAACAATTTAAAAAATATATAAATCATATTAAGTATATTCTCTGACTTGATTAAACTAGAAATCAGTAACTGAAAGGTTTGTCTAGAAAATTCCCAAGTGTTTGAAAATTAGAGAACACATATCTGAGTAACCTACAGGTCAAGGTCTTAAAGGGAAGTAAAATCATTTTGAAAGGAATGAATTGAAAAGACAACAAAAAAAATTGTGGAATGAAGCTAAAGCAGCGCTTAAAGGGAAATTGATATAGCATTGATTGTATAAGAAAAAGAAAAAAGGTCTCCATCAGTAATCTAAGCTTTCTCCTAAGAAATGAGAGCAAGAAGAGCAAATTAAATCCAAGGTAGGCAGAAAGAAGGAAATCTTTAAAACCAGGTATCGATGGAATTGAAAATAGAAATAAGAGAAAATGAAATCAAAAGCTGATAAAAATAAAATTAATCTTTTGGCCATACTTAATCAGAAAAGAAGACAGAAATGGCCAATATTGGGAATGAAAGATCACACAGATGTTAAAGTGACTACAAACAACTCTATCCCCCCAACTTTGGTCTGTTATTTGAAAGAAACAAGCTATCAGAACTCAGTGAAAATGGGGCACCTGGGTGGCTCAGTTGGTTAAGCATTCGACTTCAGCTCAAGTCATGATCTCACGGTTCATGGGTTTGAGCTCCGCATCTGCTCTGTGCAGACAGCTCAGAGCCTGGAGCCTGCTTTGGATTCTGTGTGTGTCTCTCTCCTCCCTCCCTGACTCATGCTCTCTGGCTCTCTCTCAAAAATAAATAAACATTAAAAAAAAAAAAAAGAACTCAGTGTAAAAGTAATAGGTAACTAGAATAGACTTCTGTCTACTACAGGTACTGAATTTGAAATTGAAAACCTTACAAAAAGAAAACTAGGCCCAGATGCTTTCACTGGAGAGTTCTGTCAAACATTCAAGGAAGTAATAATTCCAGTCTCTACATAATCTTTTTGTCAGAAAATTGAAGACAGAAAAAAAATAGAAGAAGGAAGTTTGGAAAGGAAACTCCCAAACTCATTTTATGAGCCCATTAGTACCGTAATACTGAAACAAGATAAAGACAATTCAAGAAAAGAAGATTATAGACCAGGATCCCTCATTAACATATTTGCAAAATCATCAAATCAAACTCAGCAAAGTATAAAAAAGGCAAATACATCACAATCAAATATGACTTATTCTAGGAATGCAAGGTTGGTTCAATATGTGAAAGTCAAGCACTTTAATTCTTCATGTTAACAATAAAAAAGACAAACCATCAGATTATTTTAGTAAATGGAGAAAAAGCATGTGACAAAATTCAACATCTACATATGATAAATATTCAAAAATGAGAAACAGAAAAAGAATTTCATTAACCTGACAAAAAGGCATCTACAAACACCTACAGCTAATGTTATGCTTGATGGGAAGAGAATGCTTTTACCCTAACCTAGAGAACAAGCCAAGGGTATCCACTTACCATGTCTTAATATTAGACTGGAAGTCCTGTCCAATGTAGTAGGCAAGAGAAAGAAATAAAAGACATACAGATTGGAAAGGAAGAAATAAAACACTTTCCATTCACAGATGACATGACTATCTACATAGAAAAATTCTGAAGGATCTATAAAAAAAAAAAAAAAAAAAAAAAAAAAAAAAAAAAAACTACCGATTTTAGCAAGGTTACAAGATACACAGTCCATGTGGAAGATCAGTTAAATTTCTGTGTACTAACAAGGAACAATTGGAAACAAATTTTTAAAAACTATGCAAAACTGAAATACTTAAATACAAAATCTAACAGAAGATATGAAATAATCCATATACAGAAAACTGTAAAACATTGATGAAAGAAAAACTTAAAAGTACTAGGTGAATGAAAAGATATATCAAATTCATGATTTAGAATACTCAATATTGTTAAGATGTCAGTTCTCTCCAGGTTGGTCTGTACATTCAATGTAATTCCAATTAAACTCTCAGCAGGATTTTTTTTTATAGATATCATCAAGAGGATCCCCAAACTTATATGAAAAAATAAACTAAAATAGCCGAAACAATTTTGAAAAAGAAAAGCAATGTTGGAGGACTTACTCTACGTGATTTCAAAACTTACTAATTAAGGGGTGCCTGGGTGGCTCAGTCGGTTGGGCGTCCGACTTCGGCTCAGGTCATGATCTCGCGGTCTGTGAGTTCGAGCCCCGCGTCGGGCTCTGTGCTGAGAGCTCAGAGCCTGGAGCCTGTTTCAGATTCTGTGTCTCCCTCTCTCTCTGACCTTCCCCCGTTCATGCTCTGTCTCTCTCTGTCTCAAAAATGAATAAATGTTAAAAAAAAATTTAAAAAAAACTTACTAATTAAGACAGTGTGATATTGGTGAAAAGATCAGTGGGACAGATTAGAGACAAAACAGACTTACACAAATGCAGTTTTTGACAGAGGTGCAAGGTCAAGTCAGTGGACAAAGGATAGTCTTTCCAACAGATGGTACTGAATGATTAGACATCCACATGTATTAAAAAACTGAACCTCAACACATAGCTCACATGCTATACAAAAGCTAATTCAAACTTGATTATAGACCTAAATGTAAAACTTAAAACTATAAACTTCTAGAAGAAATCTTAGGAGAAAATCTTTGTGGTCTTGGGTTTGGCAAAGAGGTTTTAGATACAATATCAAAAGCATGACCCATGAAAGAAAAAAATGGATGAGACAGGCTGTATCAAAATTAAAAACTTCTCCTTGAAGGACATTAGTAAGACAATGAAAAGACAATATTTGCAAATTATAGGTACAATAAAAAAATTCCTATCCACAACACATAAAAAAACAATCCAATCAGAAAATGGTCAGTGGGTGCCTGGGTGGCTCAGCTGGTTGAGCCTCTGACTTTTGATTTCGGCTCAGGTCATGATCTCATGGTTCGTGAGATTGAACCCTGTGTTGGGCTCTGCACTGATGGCACAGAGCCTGCTTGGGATTCTCTCTCCCTCTCTCTCTGTCCTTCACCTGTGCACATGGCACGCACACTCTCACTCTCTCTCAAAATAAATAAATAAACTTTTTTTTTAGTGGTCAAGAGATCTGACACTTCCGCAGTGAAGTACACCCAGATGGCAAATAGCATAGGAAACCATGCTCAATCTCAGTCATAAGGAAATGAAAACCACATGAGATACCATCACACACCAATTAGAATGGCTAAAAAGTAAAAGACAAAGTACTGACTATACCGAGTTGTGGCAAGAACTGTGAGCACTGGAGCTCTCAGTGCTGAAGGTAATGTCAAATTGTACAGCACTTTTGAGAAGTTTGGCAGTTTCTTACAAACTAAACATTCTCTCTTTTGCTATATGACCCAGCAATTCCATTCTTATTTACTCAAACAAAAGAAAAACTCGAGTTCACACGTAAACTTGTCTGTGTGTTTATCACACTTCATTCACGCTCATCAAAAATTGGAAACAACATAAGATGTCATTCACCATTTAGGTAAATGGTTAAACTGGTCCATCCACACAATGGAGTATTGCTCAGCAGTAAAAGGGAAGGGACTTGATTCCTACAGCAACATATATGGATCTAAAATGCATTTTACCAAGTGGAAGAAGTCAAAATCAAAAGGTTACATATTCTACAATTCCATTCTAGAAAAGCATTCTTTCTGCATTGACCACAAAGGGACAGCTGAAGGGAAATTTCTGAGTGATGGAAACATTCTGTTTGTTACTCTGGTGGTAGAAACACAACTTTGTGTGCATTTGCTAAAAGTCATGGATCTGCACACCTCATCCCACCCAGAATGTAGAGGAAACCCAAAGTGATAGGAAGCCTGTGACAGATGAATCTAACTGCATCACAAATAAATGGCATTAAAATACTGAGGGTATAAGGAAGAAAGGAGCTAAGTAACTTTGGAAATCAGTGTGTTAACTGGATACCCAAGGACTAAATACAAAATGCAAATGGACATGAACACTGTAATCAAGTTGATAAACTTGTTTCTTATCCGAGTATGGCTTAGCAATTCCAAAGGTAATTTAGACGTAGGGTAGGTTGAACAAACAGGTGTGTATGTTATAGATAACAATAGATTCCTCACTATGAGAGAGGGAACTTACAGATCAGCAAAGAGGGAATGTTAGAATTGACTCTTGGTGCTGGGTTGGAGTTGAAGGTGTCAGCATGAACTCGTGCCTTTCTATTTAATGGATGCATGGACAGATGGATAGACAAGGGTTAGCATACATGCATTATATTTACTGGTTTTCCCCATTGAAAGGATTTACAAGGAAGTCCTTGTAGAAATAGGAAATTGCTGTCAGTGGTCATTATGCTGTACACCTTAAACTTACACATTGCTGTATGTCAGCTATATCTCAATAAATCTGAAAGGGGAAAAAACATTCACAGTAATAACTGCTGTGGGGAATATCCTCCAGTGAAAGCTGAAATTAATTGAAATATTTTTAAATTGTGGTATATATATATGTATGTACATGTATACACATATACACGTATGTATATATTTTTTCACCATTTTAAAATTTTTGGGCGGGGTCCTGGGTGGCTCAGTCGGTTAAGCATCCGACTTCAGCCCAGGTTGTGATCTCACAGTTCGTGGGTTCGAGCCCCGCATCGGGCTCTGTGCTGACAGTTTAGAGCTTGGAGCCTGCATTGGATTCTGTGTCTCCCTCTCTCTCTGCCCCTCTCCTGCTCACGGGCTCCCTCTGTCTCTCAAAAATAAATAAAAATGTTAAAAATTTTTTTTTAACATTTTTATTTATTTATTTTTTAAGTTATCTGAGGGGGAGAGAGAAAGAGAGAGCAGGTAAGGGGCAGCGATAGAGAGAGAGAGAATCCCAAGCAGGCTCTGCGCCATCAGCACAGAGCCCGATTTGGGGCTCAAACTCATGAACCGTGAGATCATGACCTGAGCCAAAATCAAGAGTTGGAAGCTTAACCAGCTGAGCCACCCAGGTGCTCCTTAACCATTTTTAAATGTGCAGTTTTGTGGCAGTAAGTCCATTCAAGGACTTTTCCAGGGAGAACTCTGGCAGACAGCAGCTTAACCAGTGATGAAGGCTGACAACACCCACAACAAAATATGTCAAGGTCATGTACCCCTGTGGTGTGGGGCACGGGGAAGGGCACAGCACCTCTGCAGGAACCCTCCCCAAGATGCATAACCTCAGCCTTATCATAGAGAACATCAGGGAAACTCACATCAAGGGGCAGATCAGGAGAGACTGAGACATTGACACTTGATATCACTGTGAATCTCAGGTTGGATCCTGGAGCAGAAAATGACAGTTCATGGCACAGCAGGTGAAATCCAAATAGGCTGTGGTTGATTGGCAGTGTGCCACTGTGAATTCCTTAGTTTTGTTCATCCTGTTACAGTTCTGCAAGATGTTACATTAGTGGGTGCTGGGTAGAGGGTATTTGGGAACTCTACTTTTTTGTAGCCCTCTTCGAGTTTAAAATTATTAAAGAATTAAAAGTATAAAGGTTCATAAATGAAAGTTAACGAGTCATCTTTCAGTTAATTCCCTCTAGAAATTGAGTGGTCTCTTCCGACGCAGCTCAAATGACCTTCATTAATAACAACAACAACCGTGGCTAACCCAGCCCCTCAGCAGTACTGAACATAGTTACTCGTTCCTTGAACCAGTTTACCTTCTGGGTCTCTGTGACGCCGTATTTGGCGGGCTCTCTCTTACCTGTCTCCATGCTCTTCTCCATCTCCATTATTAGCTCATTGCTCTCTACACAAGGTTGAAGCTCTTCAATGCTCCAGCCTGAGGCCGTGTGTCTTCCCTGTGTACCTCTGCTATCTAGTACGGCAGCTACTAGCCACATTGGCAATCTAAATTCAAATTCTTTACAAATAAATAAAACTTAAAATTTAGTTCCTCAGTTGCTGTGGCCGCATTTCAAGTGCTTAATTGTCGCATGAGGTGTTAGTGGCTACCATATTGGACAGTACAGATGAGGAACAGTTCTGTCATTGCAGGAAGTTCTGTTGGACACAGCATCTGCCTGGCAGCCCCTTACACTTCACGTTGTGTCTGGTTGCCCCCGTCCCGGTGAGGCCAGGATCAACCAGTCGGCAGGTAGTGTCAGCTCAGTATTGTAGAGTCTCCATCAGCCTTTTATCTAATGGTCTTATTCCTCGATAGTCTTTGCTGAAACATTTGTTTCACCCCTTTTTTGTAAAAAACAAAAGACAAATGTGATCATTTTGTGTGGATGCCTTTCTGTATCAGTGCATTTTTTTTTTTTAGATCTGACCTTGTTTTTAATAGCTACAGAATGTTCTACTGAATGTACACATGCTAAAGGACCTGATCTAATTTTGTGGGGTAAGTTCATAGGTATATAATATTTTTAGTTACACATCCTTTCCGTTTCAGATGAGCAGAAGGTCTCTTCTGCCTTCCAGACGTTGAAAGACGATAGCATGCATGTGGAGTCTAGTGAAGATTGGAGAAAAGACCAGCATAGCCCATCTTATCAGCAAATAAACTGCATTGACAGTGTTATCAGGTGTGAGACACAAGTTTTGAGAACATGCCAGTTTTTCCGAAAGCATACATTGTCTCTGTAAGCACACACCTTCCATCGTCCTTAATATCTATCGTCTTGATTGTTCACTATAAGTCAGTAAGTATTTATGGAGTACCTACCTACAGTTTATAATAAATTGAACATTTCAAGGGATGCCAAACAGGAAGATTGGTCCCTTCTTTGAGGGAGCCATGGCACAGTTGAGAAGACAAGACCTTGATGATAAAAATTAAACGAGCCAAGGTTTGGAGATCAGTTCCAGGCCACAGTAAAAGAGATGTGACACTCCAGTGATTCAGGCTGGGAGAGTCAGGGAAGACCTCATCAAAGGAGAGTGTAGGGCACACCCACGCAAAAGTGCCGTGAGAAGAGCAGAAATGTGGGAAGTGGCAAAATTAGGGGCCAGGGAGGCACACGTGACCTAGTTATGTTGTTGCAGATACCTGAGGAGCTGCGACGTTCCGGCTTTGAAAAGGAAGAGCGCGTCCTCTTCATCCTCGTTAGACAGACAGGACCACAAGGCAAGTGATGCCCAGACCTTGCACGGTAACGCGAGTGCCCTCCTGGCCAGCCAGAGGATGGGTACAGAGCCATCCCTTTCTGGTTTTCCTTCAAGGGTTTGGTCTCTATTTATTTCGTGAATCACCAACAATCCTGGTTTCCTATTGCTCCTTAATGGCCAGTTATAAACACCTGCAAACTTGGTCTTTAACATAAATTTCCTTTGAGGATTTTTCTTTTCACTGTCGGTTTCTCTCATGCCCCCAGCTGCGCCTCAGACCCCAGCCACAGCTCACTTGAAGATGTCTACTGCCAGGCGGTCCGCAGACGCTGCAGGACGTGCCCCCCGGAGCCTGTCCCCGGCGGCGCTGAGCCTGGGCTCTGGCACGAGCCAGTGTAGCTACGGCAGCACCGTTGTCCACGCCCCGCCGCCAGAGTCAGGTGCCACGTTTACCTCCTGCTCTAAAGAACACTCCTATGAAATTCGGGGTCGTGAGAAAACACATCATTAATATCAGTTACTTAAGAATGACTTCTGGATTATAATTACGTCGTCCTTTCTTTAAATCAGTCCGTAGTTTTGGAAATACCACCTTTGTATCGGTTACATAGTTTGGACCATATTTCTAAATCATTGTCATTTGTTGATCACATCAGCTGACACGTGGAAGGCACTTAGAACTAACAGAACCCAGTGACATAGTAGTAAGTCCTCAGCAAGTGTTAACTATCACTAATGAGGTTGTTTATGGGGCTGCCTTAGGTCACTTTGTTGTTGCCCTTGAGAGAAGGTGTCCTTGTCAGACTGACATTGGCCGTGACCAGATGGACCGTATACACATCCATATTTTTATATTGGCCTGATAACAATGAGGAGAGTGTGTTCAAAATTCTCTTCCTTTTGGGCGCCTGTGAGGAGTTGGGGATGCCTGTCCCTTCTCCTTCAAACTCCACTGCCCACCCCCCAGGCTGGATGCCACGCCATGCCACAGTTCTTGTGGACGTTGGAAGGGGGCTACCCAGCGGCCATCGGGCGAGGTGTGCATGTGTGCATATGAGTGTGCCCCACGTTCTCAGTGGGGGGCGGGGCAGGTGGGAAACCCCTGAGGGCCTGTGGGGTGTTAAAAAGGGTTTTTAAGAAAACAAAGGAAAAAAATATCTCTTCCTTTTAACAACATAATGACTTGGTAAATTCTTCTGATGTCTACTTTTTGTTCCTTTTTACTGTCTCCTATCCTTTGACTTTGTCCTTACAACAATTTGGTGGATGAAGTAGTGGTGACAGAGGTTTTAAATCAGGTTTTTCGGTTATCTGACTTCTTGTTGCTGGTCTTCAGTGGCCCATCAGGAAACGTGTTGAGCTCTTACGGTGTGCAGCCATCTGTCCTTAGTCTTTCATAGGAATTAACTCATCTAATCTTGACACTGACCCTTGGACACGGAGAGTACAGTATTGACAGGCGGGCTGGGGGTCGGTGGGAAGAGACCAGAGACACAACCGTTGGAGCTTAGATTATGTTTCTAATGAACTGAAAATAGAGTTTTATTGGAGCTGAGCCAGTCCCCCGGGAAAGAGCAGCTGCACAATTTTTTAGTATACCTTTTCTTAATACTTTCGATTCCAGTGTGGACATAATAGCTGCCGGTGACTCAACCCATACAAGGTGGGGTCTCATCCAATGGGGAAAGATTTTGTGGTCATGCCACTGTACTTTTTATAACCTGGTGCGTATTACCATTTTGAAAGATTGATAGTGAAGCCTGTAAGCTCTCACTGAAGGGAATTTATTGATAATTGTTCTGATCTTAAACCAATCTCAGCATCTGTGGGACCACATCTTTCTTCCAAGGAGAAGAAACACAAGCACGGTCTCTGTAAAGTATCTGTATGTCTTTTGCTCTCTGAAAAGCCTGATTCGTGCAGTTTACACCCTGACTCTAATTAAACGATCGGGTCTGAGGACCATGACTCCAAATGCATTTCCCTGCAAGCTATGGCCTCCATTTCGTATACACAACAGTTAAGGCACAAAGGAGTTAAGTGACTTGGGCAAAGTTATGTAGCAAATGAGTGGCAGAGAAGGGAATCAGACATTAATAAGCAGTCTCCAGAAACCATTGCCGTTAACATATTTTTTAATCCATAACAGGGTCAAGATGGCCTGTGAAATAAAGCCAGGAGATAAGTTACAATGTAATTTTAAGAAACACACAAATGATCCAAAAGAAGGGCAGAAAAGGAGGAATAGAGCAACAACCACCATCACCAGAGGGAACATGTCAAACCCATCATAATAGCTCTAAATCTAACTGTATCCCCTCCACTTAAAAGGCAGAAATTGTCAGAACAGATTAAAAAAAAAATCAAGACCCAGCTATATACTGGCTGGAAAGTACAGTTTAAATATAATCCACCAAGGGATTGAGGATAAATGAATGAGAAAAGAGGCACAACGCAGATGATGAGCACAGGAGGACTGGTGTGCCAGTGGTGATAAACTAGACTTCAAGACAGAGTCTTCCTAGAGATGGTTCATAGTGGTGAGCAGTTCACCAGGGAGACACAACAATCATAATACATTATGTATATTCGCTAATAGCAGAGTTTCCAAGGTAGGAAGTAAAAATGGAAAGAGTTAGAAAAAAATAGACTTTCCATAACCATTGAAGAATGTAACACTGCCTCCGTGCAGTTAATAAAACATCTAGTTAAAAAAAACGAGTAAAGCAGTAGATGATCTGAGCAATGCTGTCATTTACATTCAGAGAACATAGCACCCAGTATGTGCACAATACGAGTTCTTTTCAAGCCTACGCCATGCATTCATTGAGGTATAAAATATGTTGAGCTGTACTACGTCTCAAAGTTAAAATAACGTTGTACATACTATGCTCTCTGGCGAGAGCTAATTCAGTTAGAAATCAGTGAAGCCATCTGGGGTTAGAGTTTTCTTGGCCAAGTTTTTAACTACAGATTCAGGGCTGTTCAGGTTTTCTACTTGTTGAGTGAACTTTGTTATTGCCTGCCTTTCAAAGACTTGGTCTGTTTTGTCTACATTGTCAAATTTATTGGAATAAACATGTGCATAATGTTCTCTTATTCTTCTTTTGACACCAGTAAGATCTCTAATGATGTTCCATCTGTCATTTCGGAGGTTGTCACCTTCATGTCTTCTCCTTTTTCTCTGATCAGTCTGGCTGGAGTTGATCGATTAGATTGGCCTTCTCAAAGCACCAGCTTACAGTTGCACTGGCTTGGTTCATTGTTTTCATATTTTCTATGTCACTGATTTCTCCTCTGATTTTTACTGTTTCCTTTCTTCCACTTTCGTTTTATCTTGCTCTTCTCTTTCCAGTCTCTCAACGTGGAAGCTGAATTGATTTTGGACATATTTCTTTCCTAATGGATTAAAAACAGTTTTTTTTTTTTAAGTTTATTTATCTTGAGAAAGAGAACGAGGAGGGGAGGGGCAGAGAGAGAGGGAGAGAGAGAGAGAATCCCAAGTAGGCTCCACACTATCAGAGCGGAACCTGATGTTGGAGCCCGAACTCATGAATCGTGAGACCATGACCTGAGCCAAAACCAAGAGTCGGATGCTTAACCAACTGAGCCACCCAGGTGCCCCTCCTAATGGATTTTAATACAAATTTTCTTTTTTACCTCTAGCTGCGTTACACACATTTGGCTGTATTGTGTCATTTTCATTGTGTTCAAATACCGACTACTATCCCCTAACCATCTCCTTTGAAATCACTTATGTCATCATGTATCTATATTTGCTATCATATATTACTTCAGTACCACATATTTGGGGGCTTTCCACAGTTCTTTCTGTTACTGATTTCTAATTTAATCCCCTTGTGGTCCAAGAAAATACGAACTCGAATTCTTCTGTATTTGTTGAGCCTTGTTTTATGGTCTGTGATGTGTTCTACCTTGATGGCTGTTCTTTGTGCACTGGGAAAGAAGGTTTATTCTGCTGCTGTTGGTTGAATATTTTCTCAGTGGAAACCAGGTCAGGTTGGTTGATACTGTTGTTCAGGTCTTGTCTGTCCTAACTAGTCCTCTCAGTATTTGTTCTGCTTCTCGAGGAGTCCTGAAATCTCTGACCGTAATTATGCATTTGTCCATTTCTCCTTGTGGTAAAACTGGTTTTTGCTTCACGTGTTTTGAAAGAACTTTTTATTTTGTGCATAAATGTTTAGCCTTCTTCTGAATTGGCCCTTTTTTCATTGTGAAATGACCTTCTTTATCCCTTGTATAGTCTTGACTCTAAAATACACTCTGTCTCATATTAATATATTCACTCTAGCATTTTTTTAAATCAGTATTAGCATCTTCTATCTTTTCTGCCTTTTTGCTTTTAACCCAGGTATGTTTATGTTCAGAGTGAGCTTTACTTTCATGGCTGCTTAGGGACTTAGGGTATACATGTTCAATGGTTCACTGTCTACCTTCTGGAAATACTGTATCACTTCAGGTATAGCATAAAAATCCAAGAATAGTGTACTTCTGCTTCCCCCTTCTGGCCTTTGTCTGTTGGCATAAGTCTTACTTCCACATATGTTATAAATCCCACCCCACGCTGCTGTTGCTCACGTGTAGGTACTGGTTATCTCTTCAACTATTTACCCATGTGGTTACCTCTTCCAGTGCTCGTGGGGCTCAGACTCATAACTCCAACATCAAGAGTCACATGCTCCTCTGCCTGAGCCAGCCAGGTGCCCCAGTACTATCAATTTTAAATCTAAAAAGACAACTCCAAGTCTGTCTACAGGTGTTTACTATAAGTTGTGGTATACACATAAAATGGAAGACTGTGATATGTAGACAATGTACAATGGCTGTCTTCGTGCTGGTAAAAGGGATGCTCCTGGGGCACCTGGGTGGCTCAGTCAGTTAAGTGTCCGACTCTTGATTTCAGCTCAGGCCATGATCTCACGGTCATGATTTTAAGCCGTGCATCGGGCTCTGTGCTAGGCACGGAGCCTTCTTGGGATTCTTTCTCTCCCTCTGCCTCTGCCTTTCCCCTGTGTGTACACATTCTCTCTCTCTCAAAAAAAAAAAAAAAAAAAAAGTGGGGAGGAGATGTTGTTAAGTGAAAAAAACTGTAGAGAGTGTACATATTATATGCCTTTTGAGTAAAAATCGGGGTGGGGAATATGAATCTGTATTCATGCTTATTTATAGGTGCATAAAGAATCTGGACTGTTATAGAAGGAAATAAATGGAGTTTCTATGGGGGAAATAAATGAGAACTAGATACATAGTAGACAGGAATGGGGAGCATTTACTAACTGCCTGTTTAATGCTTCTTGATTTTTGAACCACATGAATATACTACAGATTTTTAGAATTAATTCAAAGATAAAACATATTTGAAGAATTTAAGAAGATAAAATACTTACAATAAGAAGATATTAGTAAATGTGTATATGCACATTGAGTGTTACAACTCTGCAAAATGTATATGCGAGTGTACAAAGAGTTTAAAGAAAGGTAGAAAAAAATAAAACAACTTATTTGCTAGGTTGATGAAGTTTCTTATATTCCAGCTATTGTAGTAATGGTTGTAAAAATTTAGTGAAAAGCAATTAGATTAGTGAAAATAAAATAAATGCAAACGATTGATAGCAATTAAAATTAAATCTGTCCCCTTCCACCTCAGCAGAAGCGACTCTGGCAGAGGATGCTGTCCCAGCGTGTGAGCCCTGGACCCCGTGCTCACACCCAGGTCCGCGGACCTCAGAAGAATTTCAACATGTAGGGCTCACAAAAGCCATGCTGTCAGCCCACGCACAGAACGAGGAACAGAATTATGTTGATAAATTCCGAGAAAAGATCCTGTCATCGCCCTACAGAGCCTGTCTTCCGCAAGAAAGCAGAAGCAAAGCTAAACATTTGTACGTTCAAGGTAGTTACGTTTTAAAAACCGTGCCTCGTTTATCAATTCCATAAATATGTGTGAGTACTGGGAGAGAGGAAGTGAAGAATTGGAGGGTTGTTTTTAAGAAACAGATGGGAGAGATGCTGAACTAAATTCCTGCCGACAGTTTGTTGTCTGGGATAACGATTTCTTAGATGCTGGGTCTGAGAAGCTGATTTGATAAGAAAGTGATTGAGAGATTCTGAAGTAAGTTTATTTTCTAGCAGCAGCTTTTACCTGGGCTCTTGCTCCTCTTTTTAGTAGCCGTGGTAGTGGACGCGGTTCCTGTTGGCAGGTGTCGTGTCTTCTTCATCTGCTTACAATTACCTGTGAATGAATGGCGTTCTTCTCTTTTTTGGTTCTAGTTTCCATAATATGCCCCCCCCTTCATCCTTTCAGGAGGCTCCGCTTCCAAGCAGAGCAGCGCGGCCGGCGGCAAGAAGGGGAAGCACAAGGGGAAGAAGCTGCCACAGCTGCCGGGCAGCAGTGGCACTAAGGACGCCTTCTGTCCCCACTTGCGAGGGGACGAGGGGACGTCCAGGACACACAGCCCTGGGGCCCCTCCCCCGCCTCCTCTCCGTGGGCCTCCGGCCTGTCGTTCCCGGCTCCTTCCCCCGTCCCGGCCCTGCCCCGTGGGGGAGGAGGCCACGGGGCAGCAGTGGCTCTGTTCGAATGTCTGTCTGAGCCACGTTTGCCCAACTGCTTGCAGTCTTTTCCTGCCCCCCCTCCTCTCTACTTAGATACTTTGATGACCATTTTCCTGCACGAACCCCCTGTCTGTCCCCTTTTGTCACCATCCTTCCCCCCATATCCGTTCTTGGGAGCACCAGACTCTTCCGAAATTCCACCCTCAGCATCGGCAGTGGCTGCCAGGCTGGAACCCCTGTGGTCGGTCCTCAGCCGAAGGCGAGCTGAGTGGAAATGGGAGACGCCGCGTGAAGAGCACGCACTCACTACCTCGAGGAGCAGCTCACCACTGTGGCTCAACTTACTGCAGGAAGACACGCTCAGATCCCGCGAATCTTCAGATCAGATGAGAAGGGGTATTTGCCCAGAAGCCGAGGATGTACGTGACACTAACTTCTAGCATGTGAGTGAGAACATAAATGTGCGTCCTCTTGTTAAAATTAAGGCACTCGCACCGGGGCCGACACTGAAGGCCGAGCAGGTAATCGGCATCATAGCTGTGGCTGAGACTGTGCGCTATGATTTGCACTGTATCCCCCTGACTCCATGTAACAGGCAAGAACTAAACAGCCTGCTGAGTCCTGGTTCCTTAGATACTTGGTAGTATTTCCCAAAGTGCTGTCTTTCATATTTCCTATGTGAACCGGGCTCCCCGCCTTTAAATTTTTTTTTTTTTAACATCCGTTTATTTTTGAGAGACAGAGCGAGACAGAGCATGAGTGAGGGAGGGTCAGAGAGGTGGGTACACAGAATCCAAAGCAGTCTCCAGGCTCCGAGCTGTCAGACAGAGCCCGATGCGGGGCTTTAACCCATGAACCGCGAGATCATTATGTGAGCGGACGTCAGATGCTCAACCGACTGAGCCACCCAGGCGCCCCTCCCCCGCCTTTAAAATGTGATATCCAGTCATTTAATTTGACACAGTCATTGCCTACAAAATGTATTTTCTTCTTTACAACTGGGGTTGTGTTCTGGTAAGTTGGGAGTAAACCATACTGACAAGACCTGAACTGAGTGAGTGTGCCCTTGGAGGCGTGGTTGAGGGACGGAGGTGAGGTGTGTATGGAGAAGGGAGCGGCCGCTGTTTGTCATTGACTTATCACTAGAGGAGGCAGTTTCTAGTTGGATACTTACACACATCGTTTTCAAAACCAGAAATTGTGTGGGTCATTTTCCCTTAACTTTTTTATCTCTTTACCTAAAAAGCCGTTCTCAGATATATTTATCTGGCTAAACTTTGGAATCCGATGTTCTATACTTAGGTGTAGGAATCAAGACAAGTGTCAATATTTACAATTTTCTTTGGTCTTCCCTTCAAGATATGATACCATTGTTGGACAAGTGCTCAAAATGTGATGATCCAGATAGAGAAAATATGCTCAATTTTGAAAGCCTGATATTAGTGCACTTGCTAGAATCTCATGCAAGGCCGTGTATCCTAGTGAGCAGAGCTAGGCTGTGGAATAAGACTCGGAGTCAGACGCTCTGTCACTTGATCAGCCGGTTCGCTGAACCAAGTCAGTCAGCCCTCCTTTGCCTTTGTTCCTGACTTGAAAAATGAAGAGACGGAACCTTGATAGCTTATTCTGAGGATTAAGTGAAGTAATATTTACGTAGTCCTTCTTCCCATGCCATATAAGCTCAGGGTAGCTGCAACTTTGTTTCATTCGCTGTAATACTCGTTTTGGGAATAGTGCTAAGAACTGACAAAACGGTCGGGACATCCGGGATGACAAAACAGCAGAATTAAAGTGTACGACCGTATGGCGCCTCCCGTGCAGCAGGTGCAAACCCAGCCATATATGTAATGTTCCGTGCAAAGGGACGGGGACAGGCTGAACTGTTTGCTTGCCAGTTATGTATATGCTTCATTTTGTTTAACGTGCGAACTTCAAGATCTGCCAGTTATTTTGTAATATGATGCCTGAGATGTTAAAAATCTCTTCTTGTGGCCTTCCCTTCTGCAGCGTGTTGTAGGCAACAGCGGGAATAAGAACAGTTACACGGCATTACTTCACGAGGAGTCTCCTTCCAAAACAGGTTCTGCAGCATCGGGTAGTGGAGCAAAATGATGAATTCCCCACACTCTGTTGCCAGGAGATCACTGTGTAATGGGCCATCTGGTTTGGGCCCTGGTGCGGGAGTAATTTGTCTCTGTTTATAAGGTTTATTGGGGTGCGTTTACATACAATAGAATTCACCGGTTCTGACAAATGTATGCATTTGTGTAACCGGCAGCACAGTGACCGTACAGAGCATTTCCATCGCCTGGAAAAGTTCTTCTGTGACCCTTTGTAGTCAGTCTCTGCCCTGATATTCCAGCTCCTGGCAACCGCTGATCTGTTCTCTGTCACTGTAGTTCTGATTTTTTATAATTTTATGTGAATTGAATCATCCAGTATACAGTCTTTTGTATAGGGATTCTTTCAGGTAAGCCAGTGCTGCTGAGATTGATCCTTACTGGTGTTCCTTCCTATTACCAAGTACAATTAAATTGTGCGGACATCAGTTCACCAGTTGATGGTTATTCAGTTGCATTATGAATAATGCTGCTATGAACATTGAGTGTGAGTCTTTGTACACATGTGTTTTCATTTCTCTTTGGTAAATACATAGGATTGAAATTGCTAGGTCATGCGGTAAATGAATGATTAGCTTTATTTATTTATTTTTATTATTAAAGTATTATTGATATACAACGTTATATTAGTTTCCAGTGTACAACATAGTGATTCAGCAATTCTATACATTATGTGCTGCTCACCATGAAGTGTAGTTACCATCTCTCACCGTATATTATGACAGTGTTATTGATTGTATTCCCTGTGTGGTGCTTTTCATCTCCATTAACTTATTTGTCTATACCTGGAAGTTTGTACCTCTTAAGCCCTTCACCCATTTCACCTAAACCCATCCCCTCCCCTCTGGCAACCAACCATCAGCATGTTCTTCATATTTATGAGTCTGTTTCTGGTTCATTTGTTCTTTTGTTTTTTAGATTCTCCTTGTAAGCAACATCATATGGTATTTGTCTTTTTCCGTCTGACGTAGTTCACTTACCAAAATACCCTCTAGGTTCATCCATGTTGTTGCAAATGACAAGGTCTCATTCTTTTTTAAGACTGAGTAGTAGTCCGGTGTGTGTGTGTGCGTGTGTGTGTGTATCACATCTTTTTTTTAGGTTTTTTATCTTAATTCTAGTGTCGTTAACAGACAGTTTTATATTTGTTTCCTGTACAATACAGTGATTCAGCAGTTCTGTACATCATTCAGTACTCATCATAAGTGTACTCTTTAATCCCCACCCCCTATTTCCCCTATCCTCCTATCCTCCTCCCCTCTGGTAACCATTAGTTCTCTAGAGTTAAGGGTCTGTTTCTTGGTTTGTCTTTCTCTCTTTTTTCTCCCCTTTGTTCATTTGTTTTGTTTCTTAAATTCCACATATGTGTGAAATCATACGGTGTTTGTCTTTCACTGTTTCACTTAGCATGCACTCTAACTCCAGCCATGCTATCACAAATGGCAAGATTTCATTCCTTTTTATGGCTGAGTAATATTCCATTGTGTATGTGTATGTGTGTGTGTGTATACACGCACGTATATACATATATATGTAAATATATACATATGTGTGTATATATATTTGTATATGTATATATACATACCACATTTTCTTCATTCATCCGCCTATTTATGGACACAGGTTACTTCCATGTTTTGGCTATTGTAAATAATTGTGCTGTAACCTTAGGGATGCATATATCTTTTCGTATTTGTATTTTTGTTTTCTTTGTATAAATATCCAGTAGTAGAATTATTGGATCGCATGGAATTTTATTTTTAATTTTTTTTAGGGAGGTGCATATTTTTTTTCACAGTGGTTGCACTAGTTTACGTTTCCACCAACAGTGCACAAGGATTCTCTTTTCTCCACATCCTCGCCAATACCTGTTGTTTCTTGTGTCATTGATTTTAGCCATTCTGACAGGTGTTAGGTGGTATCTCATTGTGGTTTTGATTTTAATTTCCCTGATGATGAGTGATGTTGAGCATCTTCTCATGTGTCTGTTGGTCATCTCTGTGTCTTCCGTGGAAAAATGTCTGTTCAGGTGCTCTGCCCATTTTTTTCATCAGATTGGTTTTTTTGGTGTTGAGTTGTATGAGTTCTGTATGTATTTTGTGTACTAGCCCTTTATCAGATACATCCTTTGCAAATATTTTCTCATGTTCAGTAATTTGTCTTTTATTTTTTTTAATGTTTATTTTTGAAAGAGAGAGAATCCCAAGCGGGCTCCGCGCTGTCAGCGTAAAGCCTGACATAGGGCTCCATCTCACAAACTGCAGGATCATGACCTGCGCTGAAATCAAGTTGGACACTTAACCGATTGAGTCATCCAGGCACCCCTGCCTTTTCTTTTTTTGATGGCTTCCATTATTGTATACAAACTTTTTATTTTGGTGTAGTCCCAGTAGTTTGTTTTTGCTTTTGTTTCTCTTGCTTGAGTGGACATATCCTTAAATATGTTGTTAAGGCCAATGTCAAAAAAGATGACTACCTTTTATGAATGAAGTTTTATGAATTCACATCTCAAATTTAGGTCTTTAATCCATTTTGAGTTTATTTTAGTGGCATCAGAAAGTGGTCCAGTTTTTCATCCTTTTGCATGTTGCTGTCCAATTTTTCTAATCCCATTTATTGAGGGTCCTGTCTTTTCCTTCTTTTACATTCTTCATCATAGATTAATTGACTCTACGAGCATGGATTTCTTTCTGGACTCTGTTCTGTTCCATTGATCTATGTGTTGGTTTTTGTACCAGTACCATACCATTTGGATTACTGTAGCCTTGTAGTGTATATTAAAATCTGGGATTATGATACCTCCAGCTTTGTTCTTCATTTTCCAATTTGCTTTGGGTATTCAGAGTCTTTTGTAGTTCATACAAATTTTAGGATTATTTGTTCCACTCCTGTGAAAAATACCTTTGGTATTTTGCTAGGTATTACATTGAATCTTTAGATTGCATTGGGTAGTGTGGACATTTTAATGATTAATTCTTCCCATTCATGAGCACTAAATATCTTTCCATTTGTTTGTGTCTTCAGTTTTTTTCATCAGTGGCCTACAGTTTTCGGAATATAGGTCTTTTATCCCTTCGGTTAAGTTTATTCCTAAGTACTTTTTTTCCCTCATCAAAATTATTTATTAATATGTGCTGATAACACTTAGAAAAATATGTGGAGTTTGGGTGACAAAATGGAATTACAGATCATAATTTTGACTATAGACAAGACAGTGAGAAGTAACCTGACTAACATGCATTGTTTAACTTTTTTTTTTTTTTTAAATATTCAAGTTAGTTAACATATAGTGTAATCTTGGCTTCAGGAGCAGAACCCAGTGATTCATCTCTTACATATGACACCCAGTGCTCATCCCAACAAGTGCCCTCCTTAATGCCCAGCACCCATTTAGCCCATCCCCCCACCACCTCCCCTCCAGCAACCCTCAGTTTGTTCTCTGTATTTAAGAGTCTCTTATGGTTTACCTCCCTGTTTTATCTTATTTTCCCTTCCCTTCCCCTGTGTTCATCAGTTGAGTTTCTCAAATTCTATATATGAGTGAAATCATATGATATCTGTCTTTCTCTGTATGACTTATTTCGGTTAGCATAATACGCTCTAGTTTCATCCATGTTGTTGCAAATGGCAAGATTTCATTCTTTTTCATCACCGAGTAGTGTTCCATTGAATATATACCACATCTTCTTTATCCGTTCATCAGTCAGTGGACATTTGGGCTCTTTTCATAATTTGGCTATTGTTGATAGTGCTATAATAAACATCAGGGTACATATGCCCCTTCAAATCAGCACTCCTGTATCCTTCGGATAAACTCCTAGTAGTGCAATTGCTGGGTCGTAGGGTAGTTCTATTTTTAATTTTTTGAGGAACCTCCATACTGTTTTCCAGAGTGGCTGCACTAGTTTGCATTCCCACCGACAGTGCAAAAGTGTTCCCTTTTCTCCACATCCTCACCAACATCTATTGTTTCCTGAGTTGTTAATTTTAGCCATTCTGACCGGTGTGAGGTAGTATTTCATTGTGGTCTTGATTTGTATTTCCCTGATGATGAGTGACATTGAGCATCTTTTCATGTATCTGTTTGCCACCTGGTTGTCTTCTATGGAAAGTGTCTATTCATGTCTTCTGCCCATTTCTTCACTGCGTTATTTGCTTTTTCGATGTTAGTTTGGTAAGTTCCTTATTGATTTTGGATACTAGCCCTTTATCCTATATGTCATTTGCAAATATCTTCTGCCATTCTGTCGGTTGCCTTTTAGTTTTGTTGTTTCTTTTGCTGTGCAGAAGCTTTTATCTTGATGAAGTCCTAATAGTTCATTTTTTGCTTTCACTTCCTTTGCCCTGGAGACATGTCTACTAATAAGTTGTTGTAGCCGAGGTCAAAGAGGTTGCTTTGTGTTTCCCTCTGTAAGATTTTGATGGTTTCCTGTCTCACATTTAGATCTTTTATCCATTTTGAATTTATTTTTGTGAATGGTATTAGAAAGTGGTCCAGGTTCATTCTGGATGTTGCTGTCCAGTTCTCCCAGCACCATTTGCTAAAGAGACTGTATTTTTTCCATTGGATACTCTTTCCTGCTTTGTCAAAGATTAGTTGGCCATATATTTGTGGGTCCATTTCTGGGTTTTCTATTCTTTCCATTGATCTGTGTGTCTGTTTTTGTGCCAGTACCATACTGTCTTGATGATTACAGCTTGTAATACAGGTTGAAGTCTGGGATTGTGATGCCTCCAGCTTTGGTTTTCTTCTTCAAAATTACTTTGGCTATTGGGGGTCTTTTGTGGTTCCATACAAATTTTAGGATTGTTTGTTCTAGCTCTGTGAAGAATGCTGGTGTTATTTAGATAGGGATTGCATTGGATGTGTAGATTGATTTGGGTAGTATCAACATTGTAAAAATACTTGTTTTTCTAATCCATGAACATGGAATATTTTTCCATTTCTTTGTGTCTTCTTCAATTTCTTCCATAA